TGGTTTTCTTTCTTTTTCTGTTATGTCCTTGTTTGGTTTTGTTATGTTTGGCTTTTGGTATTGGGATAATGCTGACATTGTGAATAAGTTTTGAAGTATTCCATCTACTTAATTTTTTGGTACCAATTCTTTTGTTTTTTATTTTTATATTATTTTACTTTATGTGCATACCATATCTGGCATTTCTCCCCATGTTACCTCCCCCACCCTCCCCACCCCCCACTGTCTCTCCACTACCCCACCCAACTGCCCCCGGTGTGTGATGCTCCTCTCCCTGAGTCCATGTGTTCTCATTGTTCAACACCCACCTACGAGTGAGAATATACGGTGTTTGGCTTTCTGTTCTTGTGTCAGTTTGCTGAGAATGATGGTTTCCAGATTCATCCAAGTCCCTACAAAGGACACGAACTCATCGTTTTTTATGGCTGTGTAGTATCCCATGGTGTATATGTACTACATTTTCTTTGTCCAGTCTATCACTGATGGGCATTTGGGTTGGTTCCAGGTCTTTGTTATTGTACACAGGGCTGCAATGAACACACATGTGCATGTGTCTTTATAGTACAATGATTTCTAATTCTTTGGGTATATACCCAGTAGGTACTAAGTTTTTAAAGGTTTGGTAGAATTTACGAGTGAAGCCATCTGTTCCTGGGCTTTTCTTTCCCAGAAGGTTTTTAATTACTGGTTTAATCTCCTTGTTTTTTATTGCTGTGTTCAACTGTTTTTTTTTCTTTTTTCTTTTTTTTTGAGGCAGCGTTTTGCTCTGTTGCCCAAGGTGAAGTGTTTTGGTGTGATCATAGCTCGCTGCAGCCTCCAACTCCTGGACTCAAGCAATACTGCCTCAGTCTCCTACTCCTCCTGAGTAGCTGGTACCACAGGTGTGGACCACCACATCCAATACTTTTCCATTTTATTTTTAGTAGAAACAGGGTCTCACTGTGTTGTCCAGGCTGGTCTCTCACTTCTAGGCTCAAGTGATCCACCCACCTCGGCCTCCCAAAATGCTCAGGGTACAGGTGTGTACCACTACACTTGGCCTCTGTTCAGATTTTTTCTTTACAATTCTCGAATTCTATAATTCTTTATAACATGTCCAGAAATTTACCCGTTTCTTCTAGGTTATCTGATTTATTGGCATATAATTATTCATAAGTTTCTTATGATCCTTTTTATTTTTGAGGCAGAATATTGCTCCGTGGCCAGGCTGGAGTGCAGTGGCTCAATCTCCGCTCACTGCCACCACTGCCTCCCTGGCTCAAGTGATTCTCCTGCCTCGGTCTCCTGAACAGCTGGGACTACCGGTGTGCACCACCACACCCAGCTAAGGTTTTTGTACTTTTTAGTAGAGATGGGGTTTCACCATGTTGGTGAGGATGGTCTCCATCTCTTGACCTCATGATCTGCCCACCTCGGCCTCCCAAAGTGCTGGGATTACAGGCATGAGCCATGGCACCCAGCTCTTTTTTTTTTTTGAGATGGAGTTTGCTCTGTTGCCCAGGCTGGAATAAAATGGTATGATTTCAGCTCACTGCAACCTCTGCCTCCTGGGTTCAAGTGATTCTTCCGCCTCATTCTCCCAAGTAGCTGGGATTACAGGTGCCCACCACCACACTTGTCTGATTTTATATTTTTAGTAGAGATGGGGTTTCAGCATGTTGGCCAGGCTGGTCTTGAACTCCTGTCCTCAAGTAATCTGCCTGCCTCAGCCTCCAAAGTGCTGGGATTATAGGCATGAGCCACTGTGCCTGGCCTGGTCCTTTATATTTCTGTAGAATCAGTTGCAACATCTCCTTCATCTCTGATTTGGAGTCTGTTTTTCTTAGTCCAGCTAAAGACTTATCTTTTCAAAAACCAACCCTTCATCTTGTTGATCTTTTACAATTTTTAAGCCTCTATTTCATTTATTTCTGCTCTGTTCTTTAATATTTCCTTTCTTCTACTAATTTGGTGTTTAGTTTGTTGTTTTTTCCAGTTCCTTGAGGTATAATAAAATATTATGTTGTTGGAGATCTTCCTTTTTTCATAATGTAAGCACTTAACTGCTATCAACTTCCCATTGAGAACTGCCTTTGCTGTATTCCATGGGTTTTAGTATGTGTTCATTTTCATTTGTCTCAAGAAATTCATTCCTCTTTATTTCATTTCAGCCTGGGCAACAGAGTGAGACTGTCTCAAAAAAAAAAAAAAAAAAAAAAAAAGAAAGGAAAAAAAAGCAACTGTTAGTCTGACACCACAAAAATGACATTTCTTTCCATATTCTCAAGTTTTATATTAAGATACTTAAACTATCTTATATTCTCCATTATATTCTCCAAATTGGTAGCCAGTTATTTTCATATTTCAACTCAACAAAGATTTGAGTGTCAGCTTATTGATTTGTATGATTCTCAAAGACTTGGCTGTCCAGGTGAGGGCTAATACACCAGTGAATAAAATAGGGGCACAACAAAGTAAGTTCTATAAGCCCCAGCTATCATCGGTAGCGCTGAGATTACATTTTAGTGGGAATGTAGAAAGTGCCTTTCTGGCTTCTTAAAGACTAGATTTGATAGGGGATAGATGCTGGGAAAAGAATTTAGGGGAGAAAGGCAGTCAAGGAAGAGGCACCGGCATGAGGAGACATACCAGCATAGGCCCAAGTGAGAAACCGCAGATGTCTTTTGGAAACAAGAAGGCAGACTGTGGTGAAAGGTAAGAAATGCTGGAGTGAGTTTACACAGTCAGCCCTCTGTATCCAAGGCATCTACATCTATGGATTAAACCAACAGTGGATGAAAAATATTTTTTTTAAATTGTATCTGTACTGAACATGTACAGACTTTTCCTTGTCATTATAATCTAAACAATATAGTATGACAACTATTTACATAGCATTTATATCTTATTAGGTGTTATAAGTAATCTAGAGATAATTTAAAGTATACAGGACGATATGAAGCTATATGCAAATACTATGCCATTTTGTATTTGGGATTTTCGCATCCCCAGATGTTGGTATCCATGGGAGGTCCTGGAACCAATCCACCATGGATACTGAGCAGCAAGTGTACTTCAGTTAGTAGGTGGGAAAACACAGACCTAGAAAAATAGTTTAAGGCTCAAAAATGGCTGATTCAAGCTGTATTTTAAAAGGTTAATTAACTTAATAGAATACAGTTTTTATGGGGAAAAAATAAAAGAAGTTGTAGGCTTGTTATAAGAAAAAGAAAAATTTATTAACAGTCAAGAAAATATAAGCCCATACTTACAAAAAAATTTCAATAGATTTAAGTTCCTGTCTCAATAAGCGGGATTTTCCTTCTGATGGTTACGATGCACAAAAGCTGATGTTTAGTCTACAAAAGCTCATCGGTGAATAAAATCTGGTATTTTTCTCTTGGTTCCATCCTCAGAGGGGAGGGGTGGATGGCATCAAAGATACGGTGTGGAATAAAGAGAACAAACCCTTGGGATAAATAGAATAGACAGCCTCTCTCATCATACCTTCCCAGAGAGTGATACCTCTTTGATAGAAAGAGTTGAAGGGATTATAAAAGATAAGGCAGATTTCTGGAAACATAGTAGGGCAGTGTTTTTGACTCTGAAGAGTTAAGAGAGGTGGGCAAGCAAATCAGGACACTGCCACTGAGAAGTGACCCCAAACTTAAGGGAGAATGTGCTACATGACGTTTCTGATCTTCCTCTCTATTGTTTATGCCCAGCTTACTAGGAGACCAAGGTTCATGGGTCAGGGACTCCATCCAGAGAAAAATTCCACATGACTGAAGCATGGCAGACAGTATAGGGGGAAAAAAAGAACCCTTTCTCCCCACAAAAGGCAACTGTGCCCCTGAAAGGTCAGCCACATTCCCTTTGGAAGCGAGTTCCCTGCTGTGATGCTTCTCTCACACGTTCAGAAACATCCCCAACTAGCTCCATGCACTCTGCCCTCAGAAATGAGCATGGCTTTCCAAGAGGATCTACAGCTTTTGCATGGTGCCCAGTCAAGTTTTCTTTGCATTTGCTAATGCTCCACCTATTTGCACTCTGACTTCTTCTGAAAGGCACAGCAACTCACCTGTGCATTAGTTTAGGTTTCACAAGATTCTCCCTTTGTGGAGTTCCAATTTTGCTTCCAGTTATAGGCAAGACTCAAGATACAATTCAGTAAGTTACTGTAATAACCTACATGTTAAGAGTGGTGGGAAGAGTAGTAGATAGGAAGCAGTTAAAATTGATGCAAGTTTTGGGAGAAAAAAAACATAAGGAATCCTGAGTTTTCGATCAAATAGGTCTACAGCATGATGCTATATTATTAAAACGTGAATATGTGAGAAGAGTCAGAATAGTAAAACACAGGTACCACCTTCCTTAGAAGACCATGGTCCTGGCTCTGAGCCCAGTAGCCAGGGTTCTCCACATCAAAGCCCAGGACTGAGGCTTTTCATGAGGCCTCCATAGCACTCTGCGTGTTGATGGCCTCAAGGCAGCAGAAATTAGGCTGGGTGAGGATACTCCGCCACGACTGAGACACACGCAAGTGTGAAAAGCCACAACTTATAGTCTTCCCTCTATGACTCCTTCTCTGGTGGTTCTCAGTCTCCTGCCCTCCCCAGTATCACCAGTCATTCTGTGATGGGCTTGCAACCTTTTCACAATTCCTTTATTCCTTGAAGCTGAATCGGATTTGGTAGCTAGGAAAAAAAAGATCCTGTGGTTTTTCTGAAGTCACATTTGACAAGCTCTAGATCAATGTATTTTCTTCCAGATCTTGATGTTCTGCAGTGCAAAAAGGAGGAGAGGAGGTACACTACTTGTCTGGATAAAGAATCTCACTTAGTCTCTCTTCCTGGGTCCATTGTTTTTGAAGGCAAGAGCTGGCTGAAGGTGCTTCCTTCTTCCAGAGCCACCCTGTTCTATGACCATTCATGTCTCCTTAATCCATACAGCCTTTCCCTCTGTAATCAGTCTAGCAGAGGAGAAGAAAACTAGATATAGGGGAAAGAAAGCAATAAAACTATTAGGAATAGAAAATTTATTATTATGCAAATAGCAAGCTGGGGTCAAAGGGCTTTCCCAAAAGAGTTGTGTTTCCCTGTATTACAGGTACCAAGTCAGAGCAACACATCCAGGAGAACCAAATTTAAACTCAGAAAAGAGACAATTTCCAAGGCCCAACAGATCCTGATGCCATTTGAAATACTCTATTGCGGTAGCTCTGGGTAAATATCTATTAGTTGGTTGCTAAAGACAGGATCTGAGGCTGGGCCAGATGGTAAGGCACCAGCTGACTTGAGGAGGAAGATGGCGACTGTGAATGAAGGACAGCAGGCTTGCTTCTAGGAAAGTAATATCTGATAAGATGGTCAAAGAAAATACACGTCATCACTTTAAAATCAACTTTACCAAAACGATTCATTCTCTAGTTTAATAATCATTGAAATAACTCTTCTAGAAGTAGTATGCTTTAATTCTTTCATCATATCATACATACTTTCAATATTGTTAGTATTTATTGCTGTTACTGTTTTCAGAGTACTAAAATTCTTCAGATACTGCTTGAATTGTACAAGCACATAAAACCTGGCTTCTCTACTAAGTTTTTTTTAGTGATTTAAATATCTTGAACAGATTTCTGCCAAGATGGCCAAATAGGAACAGCTCTGGTGTCCAATTCCCAGTGAGAGTGACGCAGAAGGCATGTGATCTCCACATTTCCAACTGAGGTTAGACAGTGGGTGCAGCCCAAGGAGGGTGAGCTGAAGCAGGGTGGAGTGTCGCCTCACCTGGGAAGCACAAGGGGCCGGAGAACTCCTCCTCCTAGCCAAGGGAAGTCATTAGGGACTTTTCCTGACACTCTGGCTCAGATACGGTGCTTTTCCCACTGTCTTCACAACCCACAGACCAGGAGATTCCCTCCATTGCCTACAACACCAGCACCCCGGGTTTCCAGCACAAAACTGGGTGGCCATTTTAGCCACATTTTTTTTTCTCATACCCCAGTGGCACCTGGAATGCCAGCAAGACAGAACCGCTCATTCCCCTGAAAAAGGAGGTTGAAGCCAGAAAGCCAAGTGATCTGGTTCAGCAAGTCCCACACCCATGAAGACCAGGCAAGCTAAGATCTACTGGCTTGAAATTCTCAAGAGCCAAGACAGCAGTCTGAGCTTGACCCAGGATGTTTGAGCTCCGTAGGGCAAGGGGTGTCTGCCATTGCCTAGGCTCCGGTAGGCCGTTTTAACCTCGCCTGTGTAAACAAAAGTTGCCAGGAAGTTTACACAGCAACTGGGCGGAGCCCACAGCAGCTCAGCAAGGCCTCTGAACGCAGACTGTCACTAGACTCCCTTGTTGATGGGCAGGGCATCTCTGAAAAAAGGCAGCAGCCCGTCAGGGACTTATAAATAAAGCCACCACCTTCCTGGGACCAGGCACCTGGGAAAAGGGGCGGTTGAGCGTACAGCTTCAGTAGACTTAAACATCCCTGCCCAGCAGCTCTGAAGGGAGCAACGGATCTCCCAGCACAGTATACGTGCTCTCATAAGGGACAGACTGCTTCCTCAAGTGACTACCTGACTGGGAGACACTTCCCAGCAAGGGCTGACAGACACTTCATACAGGAGGGCTCTGGTTGGCATCTGGTGGGTACACTTCTGGGACGAAGCTATCAGAAGAAGGAATAGGCAGCAAACTGCTGTTCTGAAGCCCTTGCTGGTGATTCCCAGGCAAGCATGGTCTAGAGTGAACCTCCAGCAAACTCCAGCAGACCGCGCAGAGGGGCCCGAATGTTAGAAGAAAATCTAACAAACAGAAAGAAATAGTTTCAATATCAACAGACTGGATGTCCACTCAGAGACCCCATCCAAAGGTCACCAACTTCAAAGACCAAAGGTAGATAAATCCATGAAGATAGGAAGAAACCAATGCAAAATGGTTGAAATCTCCAAAAACCAGAACAACTCTTCTTCTCCAAGGGATCACAACTCCTCACCAGCAAGGGAACAAAACTGAATGGAGAATGAGTTTGACAAGCTGACACAAGCAGGATTCAGAAGGTAGGTAATAACAAACTTCTCCAAGCTAAAAGAGGACGTTCTAACGCACTGGAAGGAAGCTAAGAACCTTCAAAAAAGGTTAGACAAAATGCTAACTAGAATAACCAGCGTAGAGAAGAACATACACAACTTGATGGAGCTGAAAAACACAGCATGAGAATTTTGTGAAGCATACACAAGTTTCAACAGCCAAATCAATCAAGCAGAAAAAAGGTATCAGAGATTGAAGATCACGTCAATGAAATAAAGCGAGAAGGCAAGATTAGAAAAAAGAGAGTGAAAAGAAATGAACAAAGCCTCCAAGAAATATAGGATTATGTGAAAAGACCAAATCTATGTGTGATCAGTTTGCCTAAAAGTGATGGGAAGAATGAAAGAAATTTGGAAAATACTCTTCAGGATATTATCCAGGAGAACTTTCCCCACGTAGCAAGGCAGGCTAACATTCAAATTCAGGAAATACAGAGAACACCACAAGGATATTCCTCAAGAAGAGCAACCCCAAGGCACATAATCATCAGATTCACTAGGGTTGAAATGAAGGGAAAATTGCTAAGGGCAGCCAAAGAGAAAGGTTGGGTTACAGACAAAGGGAAGCCTATTGGATTCATAGTGGATCTCTCAGCAGAAACCCTACAAAGCCAGAAGAGAGTGAGGGCCAATATTCAACATCCTTAAAGAAGAATCTTCAACCCAGAATTTCCTATTGAGCCAAACTAAGCTCCATAAGCGAAGGAGAAATACAATCCTTTATGAACAAGTAAATGCTGAGAGATTTCATCACCACCAGGCCTGCCTTACAAGAAAGGAGCAACCAGTGCCAGCCACTGCAAAAGCATACCAAATTGTAAAGACCACAGACATGAACAAGCTGCATCAACTAACGGGCAAAACAACCAGCTAGTATCAAAATGGCAGGATCAAACTGACACATAACAATATTAACCTTAAATGTATATGGGCTAAATGCCCCAACCAAAAGACACTGACTGGCAAATTGGATAAAGGGTCAAGACCCATTGGTATGCTGTATTCAGGAGACTCGTCTCATGTGCAAAGACAAACATAGGCTCAAAATAAAGGGATGGAGGAAGATTTACCAAGCAAATGGAGAGGAAAAAAAAAGGGGGTTGCAATGCTTGCCTCTGATAAAACAGACTTTAAACCAACAAAGATCAAAAGAGACAAAGAAGGGCATTACATAATAATAAAGGGATCAATGCAACAAGAAGAGCTAACTATCCTAAATATATATGCGCCCAATACAGGAGCACCCAGATACAAAAAGCAAGTTCTCAATGACCTACAAAGAGACTTAGACTCCCACACACTAGTAGTGGGAGACTTTAACACCCCACTGTCAATATCAGACAGATCAATGAAACATAAAATTAACAAGGATATCCAGGACTTGAACTCAGATCTGGACCAAGCAGACCTAATAGACATCTACAGAACTCTCCACCTCAAATCCACAGAATATAAATTCTTCTCAGCGCCATATTGCACTTATTCTAAAATTTACAACATAATTGCAAGTAAAACGCTCCTTGGCAAATGCAAAAGAATGGAAATCATAACAGTCTCTCAGACCACAGTGCAATAAAATTAGAACTCAGGATTAAGAAACTCACTCAAAACCACACAAACTACATGGAAACTGAACAATCTGCTCCTGAATGACTACTGGATAAATACTGAAATGAAGACAGAAATAAGGATGTTCTTCAAAACCAATGACAACGAAGACACAACGTACCAGAATCTCTGAGACACACTTAAAGCGGTGTCTAGAGAGAAACATACAGCACTAAATGCCCACATGAGAAGCATGGGAAGATCTAAAATCGACACCCTATCATCACAATTAAAAAAACTAGAGGAGGGCCGGGCGCGGTGGCTCAAGCCTGTAATCCCAGCACTTTGGGAGGCCGAGGCGGGTGGATCACGAGGTCAAGAGATCGAGACCATCCTGGTCAACATGGTGAAACCCCGTCTCTACTAAAAATACAAAAAATTAGCTGGGCATGGTGGCGCGTGCCTGTAATCCCAGCTACTCAGGAGGCTGAGGCAGGAGAATTGCCTGAACCCAGGAGGCAGAGGTTGCAGTGAGCTGAGATTGCGCCATTGCACTCCAGCCTGGGTAACAAACGCGAAACTCCGTCTCAAAAAAAAAAAACTAGAGGAGCAAGAACAAGCAAAGTCAAAAGCTAGCAGAAGACAAGAAATACCTAAGATCAGAACAGAACTTAAAGAGATAGAGACACAAAAAAAACTTAAACAAATCAATATATCCAGAAGCTGGTTTTTTGAAAAGATCAACAAAATAGACTGCTAGCCAGACTAATTAAAAAGAAAAGTGAGAAGAATTGAATAGATGCAATAAAAAAACGATAAAGGGGCTAACACCACCGATTCCCAGAAATACAAACTACCATCAGAGATTACTACAAATGACTCTATGCACATAAACCAGTAAATCTAGAAGTAATGGATAAATTCCTGGACACTTACACCCTCCCAAGACTACTAAACCAGGAAGAAGTTGAATCCCTGAATAGACCAATGACAGGGCCTGAAACTGAGGCAGCAATTAATAGCCTACCAACCAAAAAAAAGTTCAGGTCCAGATGGGTTCACAGCCAAATTCTACCAGACATACAAAGAGGAGCTGGTACCGTTCCTTCTGAAACTATTCCAAACAATCCAAAAAGAAGGAATCCTCCCTAACTCATTTTATGAGACCAACATCATCCTGATACCAAAACCTGGCAGAAACACAACTAAAAAAGAACATTTCAGGCCAATCGCCATGATGAACATTGATGCAAAAAAGCCTCAATAAAATACTGGCAAACCAAATCCAACAGCACATCAAAAAGCTTATCATCATGATCAAGTCGGCTTCAACCCTGGGATGCAAGACTGGTTCAACATAAGCAAATCAATAAACATAATCCATCACATAAACAGAACCAAAGACAAAAACCACGATTATCTCAATACATGCAGACAAAGCCTTTGACAAAATTCAACAGCCCTTTATGCTAAAAACTCTCAATAAACTAGGTATCAATGGAATGTATCTTAAACTAATAAGAGCTATTTATGACAAACCCACAGCCAATATCATACTGAATGAGCAAAAACTGGAAGCATTCCCTTTGAAAACCAGCACAAGACAAGGATGCCCTCTCTCACCACTCCTATTCAACACATTATTGGAAGTTCTGGCCAAGGGAATCACGCAAAAAAAAAAAAAAAAAAAAAAGGTATTCAGTTAGGAAAAGAGGAAGTCAAATTGTCTCTACTTGCAGATGGCACCATTGTGTATTTAGAAGACCCCGTTGTCTCAGTCCAAAATCTCCCTAAGCTGATAAGCAACTTCAGGAAAATCTCAGGATACAAAATCAATGTGCAAAAACCACCAGCATTCCTATACACCAGTAATAGACAAATAGACAAATCATGAGTGAACTCCCATTCACAGTTGCTACAAAGAGAATAAAATACCTAAGAATATAACTAACAATGGATGTGAAGGACCTCTTCAAGGAGAACTAGAAACCACTGCTCAAGGAAATAAGAGAGGACACAAACAGATGGAAAAACATTCCATGCTTACGGTTAGGAAGAATCAATATTGTGAAAATGGCCATACTGCCCCAAGTAATTTATAGATTCAATGCTATCCCCATCAAGCTACCATAGACTTTCTTCATAGAATTGAAAAAAACATTTTAAACTTCATATGAAATCAAAGAAGAGCCCACATAGTCAAGAAATCCTAAGCAAAAACAAACAAAACAACAACAAAAAATAAAGCTGGAGGCATCACTCTACCTGACTTCAAACTATACTTCAAGACTGCATTAACCAAAACAGCATGATACTGGTACCAAAACAGAGATACAAACCAATGGAACAGAACAGAAGCCTCAGTAATAATATCACACATCTACAACCAACTGATCTTTGACAAACCTAACAAAACAGGCAATGGGGAAATGATTCCCTATTTAACAAATGGTGTTGGAAAAACTGGCTAGCCATATGCAGGAAACTGAAACTGGACCCCTTCCTTACACGTTATACAAAAGTTAACTCAAGATGGATTAAAGACTTAAATGTATGACCTAAAACCACAAAAACCCTAGAAGACCTAGGCAATACCATTCAGGACACAGGCATGGGCAAAGACTTCGTGACTGAAACACAAAAAGCAATGGCAACAAAAGCCAAAATTGACAAATGCGATCCAATTGAACTAAAGAGCTTCTGCAGAGCAAAAGAAACTGTCATCAGAGTGAACAGGCAACATACAAAATGAAAGAAAATTTTTACAATCTATCCATCTGACAAAGGGCTAATATCTAGAATCTACAAGGAACTTAAACAAATTTACAAGAAAAAAACAAACAACCTCATCAAAAATTGGGCAAAGAACATGAACAGACACTTCCCAAAAAAAGACATTTATGGAGGCAACAAACATATGAAAAAAAGCCCACCATCACTGGTCATTAGAGAAATGCAAATTAAAACCACATTGAGATACCGTCTCACGCCAGTTAGAATGGTGATCATTGAAAAATCAGGAGACAACAAATGCTGGAGAGGATGTGGAGAAATAGGAACACTTTACACTGTTGGTGGGAGTGTAAATTAGTTCAACCACTGTGGAAGACAGTGTGACGATTCCTCAAGGATCTAGAAATGGAAATTCCATTTGATCCAGCAATCCCATTACTGGATATATACCCAAAGGATTACAAATCATTCTATTATAAAGATACATGCACATGTTTGTGGCACTGTTCATAATAGCAAAGACTTGGAACCAACCCAAATGCCTATCAATGACAGACTGGATAAAAAAAAAAGTGGCATGTATATAGCATGGAATACTATGCAGCCATAAAAAAGGATGAGTTCATGTCTTTGTAGGGACATGGATAAAGCTGGAAACCATCACTCTTAGCAAACTGACACAAGAATGGAAAACCAAACACCGCATGTTCTCACTCATAAGTGGGTGTTGAACAATGAGAACACATGGACACGGTGAGGGGAACATCACACACCAGGTCCTGTCACGGGGTTGGGGGCTAGGGGATGGATAGGCAGGGATGGAGGGATAGGGGAGGGATAGCATTAGGAGAAATATCTAATGTAGATGACAGGGTATTGGATACAGCAAACCACCATGGCATGAGTATAGCTATGTAACAAACCTGCACATTCTGCACAGGTACCCCAGAACTTGAAGTATGATAAAAATACATAAGAATCCTAAAGATCATCATTGAGTGAATTTCAGTCAAATATCTCAGTAAAAAGATGAAGTTTCTGTGCAATTATAGCACTTAGGGGTCAATTCTGCTTTTTGTAGTAATTTTGGGACCCGTTATAATAGTTGAAAATATGCTAACTTATATAGCACAGAGGTCATTAGAAGAAAACACTAGTCTAGCTAAAGGAGATCATGACTTCATGGTTAAAATAAATTTCATACTGCCTTTTAATAATCAAAAAGGTTCAGAAATAAAATAGTTCTCTTATTTGTTTGCTTACCTCTTCATTAAAATGAAGAGTGATGTTCTGAGAATTAAACCTTGTTTCAAGGTCTGAAGGATCTCTACAGAAGTGATGTGAAAGATTCAATGTTACCAAATAACAATTAGTCAATTAATTCTCCCCTTTATGTATCTTTTATCTACTGGCATCCAGAAATGCTTGGATGTGTTTATCTTGTTGGGTGTACATATTTGATATATACAAGTTAGAAAGTGCGTCTTATTTTGTCTCACTGAAGAGGGGCAGAGTAAAGACTGTGGCAGGAAGAAACTTGGCCTCGGATTAAATAGTGACACCAGCAAATTTTTCCCTCTTTGGTTGGGGGAACACACAATTAAGATCACAAAAGGATACATGTAAGTTGGGATGCCTCTTGCAGCCAGATGTTTCCGAATAAGTCGCTCAGTACCATACCAGTTAAAACCTTTCGTGGCATGTCCAATCCGTGGAAGATGAACACTTGCTATCATGAAGAAAAGAACAGACATCTTCACTCATCAAAAATTGATTGATAGGTATAAAACATACATTGGAGAAAATAATTATTGACTGTCCCACTCAAAGCACACAATTTTAATGTAAAAATATTCTGGGGAAGAATTGTAATAAGAAAAAACAAATTATTCTGTTGAACAGAAGTTCTGGAAATACGTACAATGGACATAGATTATAACTGGTGGAGGAAAATTAAAATAAGCAAAGATTCTCTAACAAGCCAATCAATTCGATAAACTCTGAGACACACTAGGTTTGCAAACAAAATTAAATTCATTTTTGTCAGAGAACTGTCTGTTATTGTGGACCGTGGCTCTAAGAGGAGATTAAACAAACAGCATTTATCAATTGCATATGATCAAGTTGCTTTATTTCCAGCCCGCTGCTTCCTCATCTGTAAAATCATGATAAAAATACACAGGGGATGGATACGGCTTACAGAGATAACAGGTATTAAAGAGTGTTTTGGAAAGGAAAAGGGGCTATATGAATACAAGATGATGGGGTGATCACTCCTGTGGTTTGCCTTTACCATGCATATTAAGTGGGGTCTTGACATTTCTCTCCTCCCTTCAAAAGTCATATCACATGCCTAGAAACAAATTCATCTACTCTTGAGCACAGATGGAAGAACTTACCTTTCTTCTTCTTTGCTGCTAAAAATATCTTCTTCAGGCCATCTTCTAGGGCTGCCATCTTAATGCCAGATAGGACATTGGAGCGATCACGATGCTGAGCCACAATCAAGGCCAACTGGAAAGAACCACCATTAGATGACCAACCCGACATCAGACAGCCGCACTGTCAGCCAGGTGACTGCCATGGAGGGGGCACAGCCCTTGAGGGGTCACCTCAAGGTGACCAAGCCCCTGGGCTTGGCTTCATCTCTTTCAGATGCTGTGCCTAAACAGCAACGTCCTACTGTATGTAAGACTTCACGTCCCATCATAATTATTACTTTGTGGTCACTTTATACAAGCCTTTTTTCTTCTTTTTAAAATATGTTACAACCAGAGAACGAGTCCAAAACACATACTTTCCAAAAGCTCTCAAGGATAAAAAAAAGAGAACTTTTCTGAATTGTAGGCATGGAAAAGATTTTAGAGGTTCCTGTATTCCAGTCCTTTGATGCCTGAGTCAGCTCCACAACCCTCAGGACAAGCAGTCATTCCATCTCTGTTCAAATGATTCCCATGAGGATAAAATGCCAAGTATCTGTTAACCAACGTAACCTAAGTGGAGCTGGATCGTGTCAAGGGAGCTTGTGGGATGACATCACCACAGTCATATCATAGACATGGTGCTCTACTCGCTGTAGGCAGTTTTCCTGAATCATTGGATTTGGAGTTTCTCATGCACAGACACTTTGCTGTTCTTTTTTAGCATTTTAGAAATTACTGAAGGAATGACTCAACAGAAACCACTTTGTTGTTGGTCACTGTGTAGTTTGGATGTGTGTCCCCTCCCAATCTCATGTTGGGATGTAATCCCCAGTGTTGGAGGTGGGGCCTAGTGGGAGGTATTGGATCATGGGGTGGAATCCTCACGAATGACTTAGTGCCATACCCTTGCCATAACCCTTGGTGATGAATTCTTTTCTGGTAAAGTTCACTTGAGATCTAGTTATTTAAAGCAGCATGGTACCGTCCCCTACTCTGTCTTCTTCCTGCTCTTGCCATGTGTGATACACTAGCTTACCCTTTGCCTTCTGCCATGACTGTAAGCTTCCTGAAGCCCCCACCAGGAGCAAATGTCAGTACCATGCTTCCTGTACAGCATGTAGAACCATGAGCAAATAAATCTCTTTTCTTTATAAATTACCCAGTGTCAGGAAGTTCTTTCATCACAATGCAAAAACAGCCTAACACAGTCACATAGACCAGCAACCTCAAGAGGATGAGCCTCTCTTTTAGCCTGGTTTTGAAATTTCTTCTTAATTCTGGCTTAAAATTTGAAAATGAATCCAGGCCTTGGAGAAAGCCAGGTAGGTGCAGTAAATCAAACTCACTACAGGCATCCCAAATGACAGGTAAGCAGGAAGGACTCTGATGTGGGCAAAGGACATACGGATTAGTTTCTCTCCCCTGCTTCATTATGGCTGACTAGAAAACACGGTTTTTCATAGAAATTTTCACATGATATGAAATGAAACCCTCGGAGTTTTGAGTCATGCTTTCTTACTCATGCAGTAAATATTTATGGAGCATTTCTTATGAGCCAGTACTATGTGGGGTACTGAGGCTAAAAAGACAAATAGAAACGCTTGTACTTAGGTGGAGCCTGCTGTCTGGACAGTGCTCCAGAGACGAATGAATGGAAGGGTGGGGACAGGGAAAGTGCAGTGGAGGCTATGGCCCAAACTACTTGCTATGAGCTGAACAGTGTCCCCAAAAACTCATATATTGAAGCCCTAAGCCCAGTACCTCATGTGACTGTATTTAGACAGGGTCTTTAAAGGGGTAATAAAATTAAAACAAGGGTGTTAGGGTGAGGCCTGATCCATTCTGAGTGGAATCCTTCTAAGAAGGAAAATCTGGACACACAGGCACCAGGGATATGCATGAGCAGCAAGAAGACCACCATCTGCAAGCCAAGGAGAGAGTCCTCGGGAAAAACCAAACCTGCTGACACCTTGATCTTGGACTTTCAGCCTCCAGAATTGTGAGGAAAGACATTTCTGCTGTTTAAGCTACCCAGTCTGTGGCTTTTTGTTAAGGCAGCCCTAATAAACTAATACACTAGTAGAGAGGTCAATGGGGGCAGGAGATGCTTCAAGAGAAGTTGATGTGAGTCCACTTTTAGTTCTGAAAAGAAATGGGGGTTTTTACTTACCAAATCTTGCCCTTTGTTTCTTGACTCTTTATCATCAATGGGAAATAAAAGGACACCTCCCAAACTCAAGTCTGTGGTAAAACAGAAAGGAGCATCATAAAGAATACCAGGTTCACCAGGGAATGAATCCTCCTTTATCTTGCCTTTTTCAAATTTAGTTAGGTTTCAGAACGCACCTTCCTTCATAGCCCTTTCTCACTTTCCTGGCTTCAGTCAATACCTTAGCTGAGTACTCACCTGCTTCCCTCCTAAATTTTTATGATCTCCTAATTTAATGCTCCTCAAACGTATGAACAAAGTACCTCTGTAGACATCAGAAAATGAATACGATACCCAGAGGTAGCTGGGGGGCTTAGAGGAGGGAGCATTATATGTGCTTGAAACTCCGTTGGAAGTTTTGTGCTTGTCTTAAATCATTCAAATTATTACATTCTACTTTATCTATATCTGTTTGTATAATATATTTTTCCACCCCATCCAAATAAAATAAAACTGATAGTGAAGAAAAATGTGCTAATTTAATTCTATGGCTTTACATAAGCTGATGTGAAAGCAGTCAGAATCAAAATAGAGATGCTTGTGTTAAAAACTCTGACAAATATGGCTGAGCACAGTGACTCACACCTGTAATCCCAGTGCTTTAGGAGGCTGAGACGGGAGGACTGCTGGAAGCCAGGGGTTCCAGACTAACCTGGGCAACAAGGCAAGACCCAGTCTCTACAAAACGTAAGAAAAAATTAGTTGGGTTTGGTGGTGTGTGCCTGTAGTCTTAGCTACTTGGGAGACTGAGAGGCAGGAGGATCTCTTGAGCAAAGGAGTTAGAGGCTGCGGTGAGCTAGGATCACGCCAATGCACTCCAGCCTGACAGGATAAGACCCTGTCTCAAAAAATAAAACAAAACTCTGACAAATAGAGCCAGGGAAAGCCATGAAGGGAAGGTGCTAATGCATGAATGCCTGTTAACAACAACTATCCCAAAAGATTTTACAAAAACCACAACCTTGCATGAGGGTGCTGGCAACCTTACATAAAAATAATCTTCTGCAAGGACATCTGCTCATTAACTGCTGCCCAACCTCAGACTGGTGCCATCCTTCTTACTAATGCTTGTAGTCAAAGATAACTGATTCAAAACAAGTATGTAATCTTTCTCATTCTCCTTAAAACCTCAGGCTTGGTAGAGTGGCATATGCCTGTAATTCTAGCACTTGAGGAAGCTGAGGTGGATCACTTGAGCTCTGGAGTTCCAGGCCAGCCTGGGCAACATGGCAAAACCCTGTCTCTACCAAAAATTCAAAAAAGTAGCCGGGTGTGGTGGTGTGTGCCTGTGGTCCAAGCTACTTGGGAGGCTGAGGCCGGAAGATCACCTGAGCCTGGGAGGTGGAGATGGCAGTAAAGCCAAGATCGTGCCATCGTACTCCAGAGAGCGAGACTCTGTCTCAAAAATCAATCAAACAAACAAACAAAAAAACCACAAGAAATCAACCTAAATTCATCTTATTTTACAGAGCCTGTCTATTGGTTAGGCTGATACCAGTTTAAACTTTTTGTTCAGTCATTCTAAAATATTGGTTGCGCTTTGCCATCCTTTTGATCAAATCCCCCAAACGACCAGTCATTACCCATTCCATTAGATAAGGTTCTAGTTAGAATGGCATCTCCCTGGACAAATCATGTGCAGTCTTCTATGATGTGGCCCAAGACTCTGGTGACAATGAAACTCTCCTCTATTCTGCCTGAACCTTCCACTCTGGCCTGCGTGACCTGTACACCATTCTTCACACAAAGAAACAGGGTAACTGCCTGGGTCCTTCAATACCCACAGATGGTGAACAGTAGGTGTTGTAATGAGCAGTTGGGAATCCATTTGCCATTTCTCTCCACCTATTTAAATTCAACCCACCTTTCCAGGCCCAAGACAACTTTCATAACCTCCATGAAGCCTTCCCAGGGAATTCTAGTCCACAGCTTCATCTACTTTGCTGCAACCTGCTTCAATCCTTCTTCAGAGAAAACTGCACACTCCTATCTCCATGTCCTTACTGAGCACTCAGGCCTTAAGCTGGAGCTTCCCACTCTCCACAAAGTGCTCCGAGCTCACGTGAGTGACTTTGGTTCAAATCCATGGCCTTTTCGCAATTCATCCTCACATTGGTGTCTGATACCATGAACTTTGCCTTCTTGACATACTTTCTTCCCTTGTACCTCAAAATACTCCACGAGGTTTCCTAATTTTCTGGCAACTCTTTCTGTCAGAAATTCCATCTCCTTGCCTCAAGTACTAAGCGGAGGTCTTTTCCAGGTCTGTTCTTTGCCTCTCGTTTCTCCATCCTCCCTCTCACATGGTTTCAAACACAGACTCCAAACAGGGACCCCCAGTCTGCACCTCCAGCTCTGGGGTTCTGCTTTGCCAACTGCCCAATCAGCATCTAGATCTGGATTGACTATTTTGACACACATTAAACCCTTCTTTCATTAACTTGTTTTACTAGAAAAAGTATTCACTCTTTACGTTCTTACCTCTCTTTCTACCATATAGAACTGGGCGGGATTAGGAAAAACCAACCTCTAAGGAATCTGGTGGACCCTTCTCTGTCAGACAAGGTCCTTCAATCTCCAAATATGACAATAATAATTTTATTCCTCTTGCCACTTTGTTATTTCTGGATATAAAAGGAGGTGTCTTTTTCCCGTCTCTGTGCCCAGGGAAAACACTGTTCAGGCTTCTACGTTCCCCTGGCACCGAAGAGCTTTATTTCTGTCTCCAGGGAGTGTTATAACCCAGGCTATGCTGATCTCATAGCACATCTTCATTCCCCTCAGCACCAAAGCCGAGCTTTGGTCAGCATTTTAATGGTGTGTCCAACTTCTCTCCTATAGGTCTTTTTCCTGAGACAAAGTCTTGGTCTGTCACTCGGGATGAAGTGCAATGGTGTGATCTCAGCTCACTGAAACCTCCACCTCCCAGGTTCAAGTGATTCTCGTGCCTCAGCCTCCCCAGAAGCTGGCATTACAGGCATGTGCCACCATGCTTGGCTAATTTTTATATATTTTTTTTTTTTTTGTAGAGACAGGGTTTTGCCTTGTTGGTGAGGCTGGTTTGGAATTCCTTGTCTTGTCTCGTCTTGGCCTTCCAAAGTGCTGGGATTACAGGTATGAGCCACCATGCCCAGCCTCCCACAGGTCTTTAATGTTTTCATGAGCTATTCCTTCATCTTTATTTCAATACTTTTTTTTTTTCTTTTTCTTTTTAATGAGACAGGGTCTCACTCTCACTCAAGCTGTAGTGTAGTGGTGCAATTATAGCTCACTGCAACCTCAACCTCTTGGGCTCAAGTGATCCTCCCACCTCAGCCTCCTGAGTAGCTGGGACTATAGGCATGCACCACCACACCCAGCTGATTTTTAAATTTTTTTGTAGAGACAGAGTCTCACTATGTTGCCCAAGCTGATCTCAAACTCCTGGCCTCACGCAGTCCTCCTGCCTCAGCCTCTCAAAGTCTAGGATTACAAGCAAAGGCCACTGTGTCCGGCCCATTCCAATACTTTAACATGTATGCAGGGATCGACACTTTTCAGAATGCACACATTCATTATGCTCATTTCAGTCCATGAAGTAGGTAGAACAAGTATTATTCACAAATCACAGATGAGGAAACAGGCACAGAAAAGGTAAGGGAATCCACTGAAGTCACAGAATAAGTAGCTAATTTACCACAATTCAGTTCCCAACCAGTTATTCTGATTTCTTATCTAGTGCTGTGTAACCCTCATGATACTAAGTGTCCTCTCTTATTCCATCCTTAACCCCCGCCTCTGCTTTGCTTCTTACCTTTCATTTTCCCAGCTAGCTCATATATTTTTCTTGGCTCAGCGGATCGTTTTTCCAGAGCTGTAAATAAACCACCTCTGCCCCAGCGGCCAGAGTCATCTGATTGAAGAAACAGAAAATTTTCAGTCCAGTCCACAATTTAGAAAAACAAAGGCACACAAAAGAGCTTGTGGAAGAATGATTTTTTCAAAGGGGAAAAAACAAAATATCTGATCTCCTAGCAATATCACAGGTTGGACTTCCCAAATATGTTTATGTTTTCTGGAAGATATACCTGGGGCCATCGTAATAGGAAAGCATCTCAAAAACTAGTGTTCTGAATGAGCAAAATCTCTGTGGTGCATCTGTGATTCCTGGGAGATGACTGTGGAAGGATGGAGAATAGATGGAATATTGCAGAGTGAGGAGAAGCACTGGTTATGCAACAGCACACAGGCAAGGAGGAAGGGTTAAATGACTTATTCAAGCTGGTATTAACCAAGCTGCTTAGTATCTCAGTATTTACAGTCATTTATTCATACTACAAATGTTTTTTAGCATGTATTATGTGTCAGGCATTGTTCTAGACACCAGAGTCACAGCAGTCAACAACAAAAAAAACCCTGCTTCCATGAAGCATACTTTTAATTCAACAGTCAAATAAACAAATACGCAGGTAATATGTGAGGTGGGACAGGTGTGATAAAGGAAAATATGGGAGAAGGGACAGGGAATAACAGAGGGAGAAGGGGCCTGTTTTATATGAGGTGATCACAGAAGACCTCTCTGAGAAACAGACATTTGAATGACACGTGATGTGGTTATTTGGGAAGAGCGTTTTAGGCAGATGAAGTAAAAAGTACAAAGGTCAAGCAAGGGAACAAGCTTGACGTTTTGTTTTTTCTCAAAGGATTTGTCTTATCAATGTTGCTTCATTCCACTTAAAAACCTTGTGCAGAGGATAAGGCAGATATTGTCCCACTATATAAATAAGACAGTTAAAGTTGAGAGATTAGATAACTAAACCAGGTAAATGAGAGAGCCAAGAGTGAAATGATTCTGGAATGTTCCTGACTCTAAAATTCAAACTTTTCTGACCACACAATACTACACTGTGACCATCACCCTGGGTCAGGCTTCTGCACCACCCACCCCAGTGTTTGACACCATAAGGATTGAGGCCCCCATCCCCAGCCATACCACTTCTCGTACCTACGCAGTGCACGATGACAGCATCCTCGACCCCAGCCTGAGGGTGGGTGACATCACCACTAACGTACATGAGGGAGGTAGCGTCTGGGTCTTGGTAATCCAGGTCAGCAGAACCCTCATCTTCCCCATTCTCAAGGTCCTCTGGCTCGCTCTCCTCAGAGGGCAGGCAGAAGGACTGGTAATTGTTGGATTCCCACCAGGCCATCCTTTAGCAGGCCAGAGAGAAAAGGAAATCAACCCAGACAAACACAATTTCCCTTGGAGCACATTGCATACTGCTGTTCACAAACAATATCTGCCAAGTAGAAATGCTATTAGAAACTTATCCTGATTGAAGTTTTCTGCTTTTTTGTAAATAAACAAGACTTACTGACTAGGCCAACTCCTTCCTGACTACAATCCAATAATGAGCACTCACTGAATGTTCCTGCTTTTAAGAATATCACTAAAAGAGGCTGTTCAAGTAAACTACTCTATGTCACATAGCTACAATAAAATCTTAAAATTTTCTGGTTTCGGCCAGGCATGGTAGGTAGCTCATGCCTGTAATCCCAGCACTTTGGACGTCAAGGCAGAAAGACAGCTTGGGTTCAGGAGCTTGAGGCAAGCCTGGGCAACACAATGAGACTGTCTCTATAAATAATAAAAAAATTGGCCGGGCGCGGTGGCTCAAGCCTGTAATCCCAGCACTTTGGGAGGCCGAGGCAGGTGGATCACGAGGTCAAGAGATCGAGACCATCCTGGTCAACACGGTGAAACCCCGTTTCTACTAAAAATACAAAACATTAGCTGGGCATGGTGGCGCATGCCTGTAATTCCAGCTACTCAGGAAGCTGAGGCAGGAGAATTGCCTGAACCCAGGAGGTGGAGGTTGCGGTGAGCCGAGATCGCGCCATTGCACTCCAGCCTGGGTAACGAGAGCGAAACTCCGTCCCAAAAAATTAAATAAATAAATAAATAAATAAATTAGGCACCCATGATGGCACACACCTGTGGTCCCAGCTACTAGGGAGGTTATGGTGGGTAGATCACTGGAGCATGGGAGGTTGAGGCTGTAGTGAGCAGTGACCGTACCCACTGTACTCCAGCCTGGATGACAGAGCAAGAATCCATTTCAAAAAAATTTTTAAAATTCTGGTTTCAGTGGAATCCATCTTCCCTGCCTTAGGCACTTGGGACTTTTCACTTACATACAGTAAGCATTAAAAAAAGTATTCTGTTATCAATAGGAACAAGCTTAAAAGAAATCTTCTGTATTTTTAAAGTGATGTTCAACTGTGGTCTCACTACATTAGGGACTCCTTTACCAACTGTGGTCCCCAGCTTGGTTAACGCACACATACTTTTTCTTATGTTGAGCATCTTCCTTTTGCCTCTTCTTCTCCTCTACGAGTCTCCTTCTCTTGGCAGCTGCTTCTTGTCTTTTCTTCTGTCTGTCCTCCAGCTCTTCTGGGCTCAGAACCCGCTTCCTTTTGGTAGATCCCTCCACAAGGCCTGGGATGAGAACCTAGGGGAGGAACAAGATCCATCACCAGGGTCAAGAATGTTCCTCCCTAAGTTTCCTTATCCCTACAGCACACTGTACAGAAGCAACATGTTTAATATTTCACAGAACACTGCACCTCCACTCGCCCTGCATGGTGGGAACTGAAGGCAAAGCACTTGAAGGCACAGTTCATATCACACACTTCACAGGCACAGTGACCAGGATACCCTGCTCTTAGCCACAGCACTGACATAGTGGAAACAGTCATTTTGATTATTTTATTAGGAATAAGGTACTTCAGAAAAGGAACTTTTTTCCTTGACTGAAAGCATACCCTGAAGGATGCCACTTTAGCCATTTTTAATGGAACTCTTTCTGCAATGTATTATATAGTTTTGTTAAGACTATATTACAATATCAGGATTATCTTAGTAATAGCTGGCATTTAATGAGCACTTATTAACTGCCAAACACTGTGAACATTACATGTATCATTTTTGATTGATATCCTCTCTTAGTGCCATAGGGTCATAATTACCAACAGCATGAGATGGTATTTTGGTATAATATAGGGATGCTTTTAGCAGTGATTTGGATGGACAAGGCTGCTTTCACCTGCACTAAATCGTATAATATATTCTCTCCTTAATGTTTTTCTATGCTGACTTTACCATAGTTTTTATACTAGGATATGGTTAATTATATCAACATTTCAACAAACACATACTTATTTCTTGACAAGTTATCCTACGAGAACAAAATGATGCCAGCATCATTTTTGTTTTGTTTTGTTTTCTTAGAACGAGAGTTTGGAAGAATATCTTTGAAATAAATTAACAGTTCTTACATTGCCTTTATTTCGGAGTGATCGGCCCTCTTGAGTAGTTTTCTCCAAAAGGGTTTTCTGAAGGTTTACCAGTTGTTCAAATGATTTTCTGTCTTCCTTGCTGGGCTCTTTAGAATAATCTTTCCCTTCAAATAAGTACATATGATTTTCTAACAACATAAAACACAAAGAGAGAAATGTTAGATACCAAGGAAAAACAGATTAATGCTATTCAAAGCAATAACTAGAGTGGATAAGAAAACAGCCTATGTTCTAAATGAGCTAAGACTGGATAAAGGTATTTTGTTTCTCATCCCACTGACGCTGAAGTAAGTGGGTTCTACATAAGGATCCCATGTGTTTACTTTTCCAAGGGGACAGCATGGCTTAAATCCTTTCGGTTCATCTCTAGATGGTTTGTCAATCTCTGATGGGTTCCTCCATTTATTCCTCATTCATTCATTTGTTCATTCCGAAGTATTCCTCAGCACAAATCTCGGTGACATTAAGATCATCTAATAAAATCTATACATTTTATTCCAAATACACTTTTAGTATTCAACTTGGCAAATCTAAGAATCATAAAAATAATCCCTTGGATTTACAATATTCCTTACAGATCTCATCAAACATCTTCATGATCCTCACCACAACCCTGGTATATAACTAATCCTACTTTTGAAAGGGGAAACTGAGGCTTGGGCAGAAATTAAGGGACTCTAAAATTCTCACTGGTAATAAATAAAGAGGCAGGATTTTCTGATTCTAAGTGTGCTCTTTTCGGTATGTGACTGTGTCTCTAGAAGGGTGGAAAGAGAACATGCTAGCAAATAATAATTATTGTAATAACAATAGCAATGAAGATAATAGTGTAATTTTGAATAGCACTGCATGCTATCAGATCAATTCCACAACTATTATCGCGTCTGATCTTTCCAACCGTGTAAAAGAGTAAAGCAGACATTAATAGGACCATTCTACAGATGAGAACATAAAAGCTCAAAGAGGCTGAGTGATCTGCCAAGATCATGAATAAAGTGATTAAGAAGAGTCAGGACCAGTCCAGACTAGCAACCACAGATAGTTAAGATAATGATTCAACAGGGAAGCATATTTAGTAGCACATGTTACCAAATAATGTATTTTCACAACATTTGTGAAATCTGCTAAGTATGTTTTCCCTAGAGAGTATGAAAGCAAAACATTTTCATTCTCAAGAGATCAATTGCTTCACACTTGTACCCAAATCTAACCAGCTGTAGTTCTAATTGGCATTGCTAATTAAATCAGCAGGGGGCTTTCAATGAAGTACTCTATCAACAAGTAGAAGAAAAACAGAGCTGAGAAGTGTCAAATATGATCAGCATATGTAGCTTCACACTGCACGTGATTCTCAACTTCCAAACATGCTTTTTTAAAAAACCCTGGCATTCAAGATAAAGCAACCCTGTTTTTTATCTAATTCTGATGGGGGCCGTGTGAATTACCAATCTTTCCTATCCATTTATATTCTTTGTAATCATGCTCCCTATCTTCACTCTGCCACCACAACAGGCCTGGACCTGTGTCTCTATCCCACCAGGATAATCATTTACCATAGAGCAAACCTATACCCATTCATCAAACAGAAAATCCCCAAGTTTAATACAACTGGGGAATTTTTCTGGCAGTTGGACTGTCTAAAAAAGTAAAATTATTTTAGGCAGTTGGATTGACTGAGAAATATAATTATCTTTCTGGAAAAGAGTGCAACTTTATTTTGTTCTAGTAAACGTTAGCAAAATAGGCTGAAATTATCTAGATAAGTACAGAAACGGGTGTAAGTGTTGCGATTTAATATAATCAGTTATAACTTAAAAATATGATTACATGCATCTATTTCTTCTCTCACCTGAAACCACCAAGTGACAGTTAAAGGGATTTTAAAAAAGATATACGAGGCAATGGTGGACGAAAAAGTTCAATAACCTTTTGGAAAATGAAAAGTGGCTTGAGGGATAATAACAGATTAAGAAGAACCATGGAAACAAACATAGGTGCCTAGCCAAGGGCTCATTATGAGTCTAGAGACCCTCTCAATCCCCCAAGAGCTTAGGACTTACAAGTGCAGCATACTGCAAGGGGCAGAACTGAGAGAAGATCTGCACCCCATAAAGCAGCAGTGCTGTGAGCCCTTGACCCACCCTGCCTTTTCAGTCTGAGCAACCAGGTGAACTCCATCCTCTCTGTCCCAGGGAAAATACTAGAGGATTGTTCTTTGGAGAAAATGGGTTGCCCAGTGAAGACTTCAAACACGGATATTAGGGAAGGTGCCCTCCATGTAAAAGCTGACTCATCAATCAGGAATAAGGCCCCAGGGCCCATGGACCTGCTCATGCTGGAGCTGCCATCAGCTTTGTGGCACTTCATCAGCGCAAGTGATCAGATAGCCAGGGGATACCAGATGGTCAGGGAAACTATCGATGAGAATAAGAGATCCCCAAACAATGTTGTTTTTTTTTTTTTTTAGACAAAGAGGTACCATAGTGACTATAGCTAACGATGATATATTGTATTCCTTAGAGATACTAAGAGGGTGGATGTTAAGTGTTCTCACCACAAATATAACCATATGAAGTGATGTTCATAACCACCACAAATATGATAACCATATGAAGTGATAACCATATGAAGTATGTTCATTAGCTAGATTTAACGATTCCACAATGTATATGGGCTTTAAGGAATCATGTTGTACATGATAAATACAATTTTATCTGCCAATTGCTATAAATAAATAAATATAGTTTGGGTTTTTTTTAAAAGAGGAAGAAAGATAAGTAAAAGTCAATGCAGTGGGAAGAGAAATACTTTTTAAAAAGATAATATCCTCCCTAAAATACATATGAAAAAGCTATAATGTCCCCAGAGAAGACAGTATGTCCTTGAAATGAGAACAGGGTACAATGAACACAATAAGCAGAGAACAAGAAAGAGTTCTTGAAGAATATAAACAGGATATTTTCATAAAGAATTTTAAAGACAAAATATCAGAAAAGTCAAAGAGCAGTTTCCTGTAAAACAATGCCAGCTGCCCAAATTGCAGCTTTTCCACCTATTCCACAAAAACTACACAGACCAACAAGGACCACCCCAATCCATGCCTACTACAACGTTAGAAGTCAGAAAATACTACACACTTCAACTTATGGCTGGTAACTAGAGAAATAAACCTCCAACACCAGCCGAGCCAGCTCCAACGCCTACACTAGAGTAGACAGGCAGGCAGAGACTATGCAGAGGAGAGGCAGGGCAGGGAGGGGCGTCCAGCAAGGTCAGACAGATAAAATTTACCCCCCAAAGAGGGTCACATTCCAAGTGGGAAGATAAGGAGGACAGGTCTGAGACCTGGTGGATCAGAGCAGTGGCTACTAAGGAGCTGAAACGAAGGGAAGGCATGAAAATACAGGCAGCCAGGAATTTGGAAAGGCACTGCTTCTGGCAGGAAGACAGAGACAACTCAGAAGCGGGGAGACATCCTTTGACAAGTTTGTGGCAAAGAGAAAGAGAAAGCAAGTGATGGAAATTCACAGTCCTAGAGAAACAAAAGAGAACTGCAAAACCAGAAATCATGCCACTGCTACTCAACATAAAAAGGGGCTACCCATCTAGTAAAGAAACAGCACTGTTCTCTATTACTGAAAGAATGTACTGGTGAATTAAGCCTAAGATTCCCAAACCTCTCACCCCAGTCCATACTGAATCTCTGCTGCAGCTGGTACAGAAAAATAAGTCATTTCAAAATAACTTTGAGATGCCAGGGAATACCTTTACAAAGCTATTATGTGAAAAATTACTTCAAATCAGAAATTAAAATACTCAGAAAAGAACAAAATGGCAAATGTTGACCAAATTCAGAAAAGAAAATTAAGAGAAAGACAAAATCATCTCCTACAGCTCATGGTGTATTATGAAAGTTAAATGGAAAAAAGCACATGGCAAAGTCTGCTCTGTTGATGAACACAAAGTACGTGATCAATGTTAGCTGCAATTTAAAACACAAATAATTCTACCATTTAGAAGAGGAATCACTATGTGTAAAGCAACATACCAAGGACAATAGGCTTTACTAATAAACAAAGGAGATGCTTGCAACCAAGGGAGAAAAGGTACAAATGCAAAGCCTCAAGAGTGACAGTATCATAAACATTAATACTATGATTTTGGTTCACAGTTCAGCTACCAGGGAAGAGCCACACAAAACTGCAGTTAGTCTGGGAAAAGTTCTTGTACAAGCAAGTCTTAAATAGTGTGTCCAAGAAGACAGTAAGGTTGGGTAGAAAAAAGATGTCCCAGAGAGCAGCATCCAAAGCTTTCCATGGGGACGGGAGCTCTAGCTTGGGGTGCTTGTGCCATTTGCTCTGCTCTAGCCTCCAACTTACTTCCTTCCTCTTGCTCTCTGCTCCCTCCTTCGGCTGCAGGCAAGGCATCAGAAGTCCACTGGCCATCTTTTGTTTCTCCCAGGATGGACTCCAGGTCTATTTCATCCACGGTGCTCCCATCAGAGGCCAGCAGTTTATCCAAACCGAATTTGAGTATCTCACTCAACTTGGGTAGAGAAAACAAAAAAGTCTAGTAAGTTCTCATGAAAACAAACATTAGGATATCAATGATTGGCTAGGTGGATAACAATGCCAAGGACAGTCCTACTCTGATGAATAGGCAGTCTCTCTGCTCTCCCCATCATAAATGGTAATAGCCATGGCCATTTAACAGTTGGATGATGGGTAAGCAGAGAGGGGATAAATGATTACTAGAGGTACTGACTTTGACAATTCTCCCTAAAAACAAAATAATGTAAAAGCCTCCAATTTTTTTTGAAGAAAAACAGTAATTTCCTGCATTTCCTATAGCACCTCTCACTGACTTTTTTTTTTTTTTTTGAGACGGAGTCTCGCTCTGTCACCCAGGCTGCAGTGCAGTGGCATGATCTTGGCTCACTGCAACCTCTGCCTCCTGGGTTCAAGTGATTCTCCTGCCTCAGCCTCTCGAGTAGCTGGGATTACAGGTGCGCTCCACCACACCCAGCTAATATTTTAATATGTTTAGTAGAGAAGGGGCTTCACCATGTTAGTTAGGCTGGTCTCAAACTCCTGACCTAATGATCTGCCCGCCTTAGCCTCCCAAAGTTCTGGGATTACAGACATGAGCCACTGCACCCGGCTGACTCATTTTCATAAGCATTCCCAGCAGTCACATGAGAAGTCAGAGACCCTGTCAGCTACTTTCTGACCTCCCCACTGACAGACTCCTTAGAAAGAGAAGGCTACACTGGGTACTTTACCTCTACTATAAATTGACTCCTTTTCTTTGGCAATTTGTTCTCCTAACAATTTCCATAGAAATTTGGTTTCTATAGAAACCACCTTGGCAAAGACCAGTAACAACTTCTGACCACCAGACCCGAAGGCCTTTTCTCCGTCTGAACTTTCCTGGATGTTCCTCTGGCACTGCACTATCCTGCTTCTCTTCTCTCATCCCCCTCTGGAGTACTGTCAGCCTGTTCCCTGTGGCCACAGGAACCACACAGAAAGCAGAGAGAATTTTTCCTGGCTTTCACTTGCTACTTCCAACTTTGCACCTCCTAAGTACTAACTCTGAGATCCTGACCCAAGGTGGATTCAAACCTGCCCTTTTAGACTGGGTTAATTATCTCTAGATCATCTATTTTGTGAGTAACTTGGAAATCTTAAGGTATTCCGTAATAGCTTGAAAAAAAAAGAGCTCACTTAAGCATGAATGCACCTGGACATATTCATATTTAATTTACTCTCCTTTTACATAACCAGGATGACTGGCTTGGGCAGCTGGTACTACAAATAGTAGAAAACAAAGTATTTATGATAAGAATTTGTCTATACTGGAACCCTCCCTCCAACCCCCTTGTACTTAAGCTTGCCTCCTCGCTCTCCCTTGTTATTGCTCACTTGTAGTGTGTCCTAGTCATTAAGGAAATTATATGTGTTTTTATGAGAAGCTGTATATTACAGTAATTAAGGGCATGTGCTCGGAAGTTAGAGAGTGCTTGGTTTGGAATCCGAAATCTGAATAACCTTGGGCCAATTACTTAAGATGGGGATAAAGACAGTGTTTATCTCATCCTGCTGTTATTCTTATTTACGGAAAGAACTGGAAAAGAGCACCTCAGACAACACTCAGCATAGAGCATTTAATAAGTGTTCGCTATGCCTGCATCTCCCTGCCTCTCTACTATGTCTTCCCTGCACGATAATAAACATGCTTCCTTCTTTCAGGACTTCAGAACTCCATACCTACCGCTTAGATTTACCAAATCAGAACCACATCTTTTACTTCTGGTTTTTTGGTATTAAAAAGAAATCCCCTGCTTTCTTTTGAGACAAGGGCATTGGGTTATCACCTTTGTTTCTGGCAATGACAAATGACTCATAGCGTCTGGATGGGGAAGAGATGAATGAGACATTTGAGTCAGAAAGTAACTTTCTGATAACCATGAGCTGCACAAGAAGCCCAACAGAGTTGCTCTCAGCCAGCAGTCTGTGTCCCCACTAGTAGGTGGTCCCATGGGGTGGAGGTGTGTCTACACCTTTCCCAATGATGTGTCCAGCAGCCCACATCACAACATACCTCTCACTGGAACCCTGGAGCTCCCTTCACTGGGAGAGTGCAAACAACTTACGACATCCTTCTTCCTCTAAAGAGAATGCAAGCCTTCTGAGGCTCTGTCATTTACCCCTTCGCCATGCCCAGCAGTGACCTTCTCTCAAGGTTCTATGGAGAACTGTTCTGTGGAAAACTGCATTTAAGAGTATCTACAGTGTACCGGAAGACAGTGTGACAATTCCTCAATCTAAAACCAGAAATACCATTTGACCCCGCATTCCCATTACTGGGTATATACCCAAAGGATTACAAATCATTCTACCATAAAGACATTCTACTATAAAGACACAGGCAATAAACACATGCATACATATGTTTATCGTGGCACTGTTCACAATAGCAAAGATTTGGAACCAACCCAAATGCCCATCAATGATAGACTGGATAAAGAAAATGCGACACATATACACCATGGAATACCATGCAGCCATAAAAAAGAATGAGTTCATATCCTTTGCAGGGACATGGATGAAGCTGGAAACCATCATTCTCAGCAAACTAACACAAAAACAGAAAACCAAACATCGCGTTCTTACTCATAAGTGGGAGCTGAACGATGAGAGCACATGGACACAGGGAGGGGAACATCACACACAGGGGCCTGTCGTGGGGTGGGGGGCTAGGGGAGGGACAGCATTAAGAGAAATACCTAATGTAGATGATGGGGTATCAGATGCATCAAATCACCATGGCACATGCATACTTATGTAACAATCCTGCACGTTCTGCACATGTACCCCAGAACTTAAAGTATACTAAAAAATAAAATGAAATAAAAATTAAACAAATAAAATTATCTACCGTGTATTTCTACCTCTCTCTCAAGCTTTCTTCTCACGTTTGTAATTGTCTCTTAGACAGTGTGAAATCAAAATGTACAGCCTGCCCTACCACCATTATGGTTAATTAAGCATGCGTGTAACGTAGAAGCAGCAACAAAAGGAAAGACAGAAAAAAAAGAAGCCACACTTACCCCCTAAGATAAACAAAGAACAAATAAATAACACCCAGGGTTACTCTTTCTAGTTCTAGTCCCCAGATTAATGAATCCTTGAACCTTTCCTGTAATTACTGACTCCCCAGCAAAAACACTGATCCCTGCTTTTGCAATGCTCATAGGTAAAGGTACGCACTGGCCTTTGCACATATGGTAACCATGTGAAAAAAGTGCTGCTTTCTAACCATGGTCAGACTAATTACAAACCTGGTAACTCTGCTTGTATTATTGTGTAATTTTTTTCCCTCTTAAACACTTGTATTTTTTGATAGACCAGTCCTTTCAAAGCCTAGTCCTTCTTGCAAACTTTTGCAAATAAAATTCTTTCCTTTTGTCTCTCAGTCTGTCTCTAATAATAGTTTATGTTTATATTGTATTTTTACTGCTTACTCTGACTAAAGCCTAAATTATCTTTATCTTCCTAAAATTCTGACCTACCTATTTTCCTTTCTACTGTCCTCATCATACGGGCTTCAAACCTCACAGCCGTCTTTGAATTTTCTATCTCCCTACTGCTGAGACCCACCTCTAAACAGTAGCCAGCTCCCATCCTTCCTTCTTTTGCAATGCTTCTCACACCAGACCCTCCCACTGATACTGCCCTTGACAGACACTGATTACTCCCTTCATATCTGCATCTTTCTGGTATCCTAGGAGCTGGTCTCTTTGCATCCAGCCCCTCATCCTTAGGGCAAAAACAATGGATCCAGGAAATATTATGAGTTCTAATTTTAACCCAAGGGCTGCCACAGACTAACTCTAAGTCCTCTTCCGAAAGAGAGCTCTAAAATCTTCCAATCCAGCATCGGTTTGCCATCCAGTATTCCCTTCTTCAAGCAAATTACCTCTAGTTTTTCACCCATTTTTCCTATGGCACAATTTTGAATTCCTGATCTCATTCGCCCTCTTCTGAGTACGAAGTAATGTAAATCACTGATCAAAGAGTCTGGGATTAAGGAGGAAGTACAGAATTAATTGTTATTGACTAAGCTGAGTTCTTTATTTTAAATAATTCTCTTAACAGCCCTCTGAGGTAACCAGTGGTATCTTTACTTTTAGAAATACAAAAAGAGTAGATCTAAGAGGTTAAAAAAGCTGCTCAAACCCAAAGAGCCAAGAAGTGATGAGGCCTGGATCTGAATCCTTAGTTTCTACAGACCCTGCACACAGCCAGCACGGTGGCAGGTATGAGGGAGGCCACGGAACAAATGTGTAGCTGGGGAGAGTGGCTGATGAGTGCTGGTTCTTTTCATTTACACTGTCCTCCACAAAGGGTGCTGGCATATTCCGAAGTGAAGAACAATATATCATACCTGGAGGTCAGCACCAGCTGAGGGTTTCTGGGCTCCCAGAGTAAAATGGCCTCCTTCTATGATCATGTTGGTGAGCTGCAGTTTGGAGGCTGCTTTCCTATAGACGATTTCTTCCACAGTGTCTCGGCCAATCAGCCGAATAACTTTAACAGACCTGGACATAAGTCAAACAAGAGTAGTGTGCTACAAGGGTCTGCAAAGCTGTGTAAAAGTATGCAAGGCAAATACATCTAAAAGCAAACAACGAAAGGGAGACTGTTTCATTTGGACCTGAGTCCTTGTCAGAGAGAACTCGCCTCAAATTCTCTCTGAACCATTCCAAGGGAGTCAAGGAAAGAATATTGGGGTAACCATGACTGGAATTCCTTATCTGTGGCCAAGGAAAACTTCTGGAAGATCAAATTATCCTCAGATCAAACGGTAACAGCTATTTTTTTTTAAGCTTAGCTCCATAACCCCATTTTTTAACTGAGTTACAGCCTAACTCAAGAAGGATGAGTTAAATAACTTCTAAAGTTTCTTTCTAATCCTTTCACAATTTGATTTTACTCTAATAAAGTCAGTCTGGACTGATGTGACCCCCCTCCAATACTAACCTAGGAGCCAATAGTACAGATGGGCTAAGATCTGGTGGTCCCTCAGCTCCCAGTGTGGGACTGCTGCCAGGACTATATTCTTTACCTTCCTCACAACCTGGAACTGCTGCTGGGCAAGCCAAGGAAGCAGAAAAAAAATCACTCACTTGTTTTGGCCAATTCGATGAGCCCTGGCAGCTGCTTGCAAGTCATTCTGAGGATTGAAGTCACTGTCAACAAAAATCACAGTATCTGCTGCCGTTAAGTTCATGCCAACTCCACCTGAAAACAATGCAAAAAGGAACGGAATCAGCAGCACACAGACAAGGAGCTAGAAAATAAACACAAGGCTAGCGTGGGTTAGACCGACAAACGGAAATCAACCAAATAAACTGGCTTCATCTTTCAAATGAACCTGCACCCCCAACTCCACAGCCTTGTTCTAGCAGTGAGAGGTGCTACCTGACCTCCTACTGCCTGATGGGAAAATTTTTATTACTGAATGGAACAGAATGAGTGGAGCAGGGGCAAGTGGCAAAAGTGGATACTTAAGTTAGTGCCATGGAGCCACTTTATCTCTTCTGCTTAAACACCTTGATTAGATTTTGATTTGAGTAGTCTCAGGAAATGGACACATGCTCTTTCAGAAAGCAGACCTAGGCTGGGTGGCTCAAGCCTGTAATCCCAGCACTTTGGGAGGTTGAGGCGGGTGGATCACGAGGTCAAGAGATCGAGACTATCCTGGCCAACATGGTGAAACCCTATCTCTGCTAAAAATACAAAAATTAGCTGGGCGTCGTGGCATGCACCTATAGTCCCAGATACTTGGGAGGCCAAGGCAGGAGAATCACTTGAACTGAGGAGGCGGAGGTTGCAGTGAGTCGAGATTGCACCACTGCACTCCCGACTGGGTGACAGAGCGAGAATGTCTCAAAAAAAAAAAAAAAAAAAAAAAAAGAAAGAAAGAAAGAAAAAAGAAAAACAGATCTAACTATGAGATCTGCTGTGGGCACTGTCAAGAGAAGAGCGCTGAATGTGGCTTGCAAGTTACAACCAGGTAGTAAGATCTCTGATAAAAAGTTAACAAGAAGAGCGGATGATACTATACTCCTGAGCAGAGTGGGAAACCATCTCCCTCTCATTACAGAAAACTCCAGTGTATATTTTTTGTACTTGTTTCCATATTAATCAAAGAGAAAGTAACAAAACCAAGAAAGAAAACTCCATGGAATAACTTTCTGGTCTTTCTTCAGTGCTGCAGGAAGAGAGCTGAGGAGGTGCCTTGGATTACAGGAATTAATTAAAAGAACCATGAAGGTAAATTGCAGCTTTCTCTGATTAATGTGACAACAAGTAAAAAGCCAACTCCCTCTTGCCAGGGTTGCTAGAGTTTGTTATTGAAACCAGCAAGCCTGGAAGGGCTTGTTCCATGAACCTGAATTAGGGACTAACTTTTGAGAATGACTACTTGCCATAAGCTGGATCTCCAGATAAGTCAGGCAGAAATATTCTAAAGTCTTCATACCAAGTTGAAGTTGGAACAAGGAGGTAATCATGAATGATTACTGAGTGATGCTAAATTATACCTAATACTAATGATAGTTACACTTACGCTGAGCTTATGACTTGCCAGGCATTATTCTGAGCACTCTCTATATATTAACTCCTTTAGCCCTCACAACAACTCTGTTGGGAAGATGAGTAACTGCTATGATTATCCCCACTTTATAGATATTGAAAGGGCAGGTAAGGAACTTCTCTGAAGTTGCAAGGCTAGAAGGTAGAAGAGCCAGGATTCATTCCTTTGCAGTTTGGGCCCAGAGCCCGGGATTTTATCCACTATACTGTAATACTGTTCAGGTACTTATTTCATTTCAAAATGTTTTTCATAAATTATCTTCTTGAATTCATGCTATGCTAAGTGCAGCTCTTCTTCACTGAGGGGTGAGATTTTTATAAATAAGCTACAGCCGTATTTGAAACATATTTATGAGCTATCACTGCCATCTGGTGGCAATATGACCCAATCACAGAAATATTTGAAAGTTGGAAGGATACCTGTGAAATAAATGAAAATCCTGTAAAACTACAGCAAACACAACAGTCTGTGTTTGGAAAAGGCTAATGGCTGGGACTGCTTCAGTTCCCAGAAGATCTACTCTGAGTCCTCCAAGGAGATGAACTGAAAAGCAGAGATCTCTTTTTTCTCAATTTCAGACATTTCCAACATAATGCTGCTCTCTGAATATGAAGATGATGAAATCATTAAAGCATAAATAAAATTGTCTCCCAATAGTGATGATGTACTACCTTATTCTTTCAGTTTCTCCTAACACTAACCCTAAGACAACTGATCACATGAGAAAATGGCTGAGATTCTGCATGCAGTCTATGACCTTGGAAGAGTAAGGTCATATGAATCTTGTGTTATTTTTATTAGGGAGATAAAACAAAGACAGGTGAAATAATCTCCTTATAGTCAAAGATTATATCTAACACTTCTTTCATATACCCTTATAGTACTAGGCATTTAAAACGGTTTCTACATAAGACTGAACTCTATTTTTTCAGAAAAATATCAATTTGTTTTTAATGGAGCACACATATCCCTTTCATGTTCCTGAATGTATTCCATCAAGATTTATGTCTATAAAAATAAGATAATGAAACTAGGATCCTATGAGTTCAAAACTAAGGTCAGCTTGCTCCAGGACATGAGAATAATTTATTTTATTTTTGAGACAAGAGTCTCACTCTGTCACCCAGGCTGGAGTGCAGTGGTGTAATCTCGGCTCACTGCAACTTCTGCCTCCTGGGTTCAAGCAATTCTCCTGTCTCAGCCTCCCTAGTAGTTGGAATTACAGGCATGCACCACCACACTCAGCTAGGTTTTATAGTTTTTTTAGTACAGATGGGGTTTCACCATGTTGGCCAGGCTGGTCTTGAACTCCCGACCTCCAGTGATCCACCCACCTTGGTCTCCTAAAGTCCTGGGATTACAGGCATAAGCCACTGCGCCAGCTTTTTTTTTTCTTTTTTCCAGACACCATAATGACTTAGAGAATCATTTCATCTCCAAGAGCTGATTTCAAATTATGTAAGAGTATATAAAAGCACTCAGTGACTGGTAAAGCATTACAAATGTCATAATATTTATAATTTACATGATATATGGACAATGTCATAAATAATTCTAAAAAGCTGGTAGTTTCAACACAGTAACACTTTTTAAACAACTAGATTTTTGCTAAGCTTTTCAACATTATTCCAGAAATACTTAAAAGGAAGGACAACTAACTGACAAACTGTTACCTTATTTCCCAAATTCATGGTTAGGAAGAAGAGCTGCCTCCACTGAATGTAAATGAAACATTCCACAAAATTATAGAAACCTTTCAGGACATTCCCAGGTCAATGGTCACAGCAGATTAGAATTACTTTCCAATAACCCCAGGTTTCAGCCTTACTTCTTTGATGAGATGACATCTTGGACAGGTTGGATAGAACAGAGCACCATGCTTGAAGCCCAGTACCTTGTTTTACATTCAATAATAACCTCACCTTTCAGAGAATTAAGGAAAAAAGTGTAGTAATAGTGGGATGTAATCTGTTTCCATTAATGCCTATGCAGCCTACCTGCCCTAGTACTCAGGAGAAAAACAAAAATGGGCTGCTGTCCAAAGCTCTTAATGGCCAAGTGTCTCTCTTCTCCTCTCACAGAACCATCCACACGCTCATAGCTGTAGCCTTTAGAGAGAGGAAGAAAAACAGAAATCGTTAACCTTTTCAAGTAGTCTTTCGGGAATAAAAAAATTAAGTTAGCCCAAAACCAAAGGCCAATTTTGTCCCTTTTCATATACAAGCATGGCCATACTCTAAGCAAATCCCACGGGAAAAATTTAAACAGGGACAATGATCATTTTACAAAAGAACTGACCATAACATACTCTGGATTTTTAAAATACATGAAACCTTGGCATTTACGAACTTAATACTCAGTTTTGACTATTTGTAAGCAACCCTGAACATCTAACCTGTGTGGTAGTTTCAATTTTGCTGACACATAATTCTTACTTATGTAAACAGAAGACAAGCACTTGGAAGCAGGTGAGTGAGCCCTTCTAATGGCCCAGCAATCTGCCTTTCATTGAGGCTTTAAGAGGTCACCACCTGTCTCCATGCATCCATGTAGGGAAGGGCGGCTACAAGCTCAGGCTGTGTTTGTGCATCTGGGGACCTCTCAGTGGCCAATGGCGTGTGCCAACAGCATTTCTGCAAGTGTCCACCGGAGCAGGTACACAGAGACCCAGTCTGGACTACTTTTTTAAATTGTAAGGTCTGGAGCTGATACTTCTTTACCACTGGACTCAAGATCAACTCATGTTAGAGCCTTTTCTCATCATTTCACATAAATTTTATCACATATTAAACAGACTTCCCAGGTAATAAACTACATTCTCTATCATCTATATAGAAAAAGTTGATCTTACTTTTCCCCTGCCTTATTTGGTATCTCTATAATGTCAATATTCACCTTTTTACTGATCCTGAGTAAGTGCTCAACTGTTGAGGTGAATGTTACAAGACACTAAAAGCTCTAGTCACCAAAACTTGGTTTATATATATTTTCTCCACAGCCCATCATTTTACATCACATAACTGATGAGAATGTAGGTGTTTATTTCTGCCCACGTGCCTCTTCTCTGCACTCCATCCTTGCCTTCACTCATCACTCTCCTCTCGCTTTACTTTTGATCTTTTGGTTCTGAATAATGTTCTCACCCTGCTTTCATTTGAAATATTCTCATATCCCATATTATTCTTCATGGACCTATCTGGACTATTAAGTCTAACAGAGCCTTAGGTAATGTAGTGGCCAAAAGGTGTCACCTCTGTAATCCATATAGTCTTGGAGAATATCCAACATCTGGGTCATCTGGGAGAAAAGTAAAACCCGATGGCCCCTGGCAAGAAACACAGAAATGGAAACACAGCAAGTCTAGTGATATTTAAGGTAAATTTCCCTCAGTCAAAATTTACCAAAGAATACAAGTTTATAAATACTGAAGTAGAAATATAAACGTCATATAATTTACAGACTGCCTTAGAAACTCCAAATGCTTTCTCTAAGAATATACCTCCACAGGTAGCTGCATCCCTCAGAACGGTCATCCTCAAACTAGAGTGGAGATTACTCCCAGGGGACATGCCAATGCAACAGAGGATATAAGCCCTAGAATAAACACGGTGCCTCTTTCTGGAATGTCAATTTGCTCAATGGAAAGAAATACAAACTTTCATTTTAGTAGCAAAATAAATACAGATATGTGAAGTGAATGCAAAATTCAAATGCACAAAAAACAAAAAAAAGATATACTGGAGACTCTGAAGAAAGCTTGTGTTTGGTCATCTACAGCTGTTCCCTGTTTGGGGGTATAGTCACTCTCCTCTCATTTACAGCTATATTGGTTGAAAAGCATGGGAGGCATTACTTTAGAGAAGCAAGGGGTAAGTGACTTCTCATCTTCCATGATACATGAGAAAATTTTTGTATACATGAGAGGAGAGTTGAAAGGAGGTGGCAAAATGATGGAGTAAGTCAAGAACAAAGCAAGCCTAGAGTCCCTTGTTACTAGCTATTATTCTAAATTTACATAAACAAAGAAGCACAGCACTGTCGAAACAATATTCTCATTATAAAAACTTATTTAATCTGAGCTTGCAACAAGTTTAAGAGGAGTAATTATGGGGAACTCTTTCAAGATTTAAGCCTCAAATGGTTAGAGAAAGCACTGAACCTGAAAACCTCAATCCTAATCTCATTTCTGCCATTTGCTGGCTGTGTGACCTTGGGCAAGTCACGTAACCTTTCTGGGTCTGTGAAATAAAAAACTGAGGAGAAGGTATTTATAGGTCCTTTTCCAACTCTAACATACTTATGGCAGCTATATGAGAACCAGTGAGATACAGTAAGACATGAAATTATTTCACTTGCACATTCCTAGACCCTGCTTGCTCTCTGGTGACTAGGAGGATTAGGTATAAGCTGAATACATGGCTGCTGAACACTAACTGAGTCTGGTCTTCTAACGTCCAAATCATGTCTCTGAGAAAGAGTCCTTCAAGTTCCCGGTGAGTTCAAATCAAACCCCACACGTTAACAAAAATGAATGTTTACTGAGCCTTCACTATGCATCAATTCAATGCAAGTTACTACAGGCAACTATAAAAGAAATGCTCAGTGTTATCTCTGTCCTCGTGGAGCCAAACAGCATAGTTGGAGTGATAGAGTTAACAAACACCAATTAACCAGACAGCCGATTAATGCAGCCCACTGCCAAGTGCTGGATTAAGATCCTAAGTGCTGTAGAAACTCAGGAAAGAAAAGAATAATTGTGGAAGGGATGGGGTGCGAGTGTAGTCACAGAGAAGGCAAAACCTGAAACAGCATTAAGAAAGAAAAGACAACTGGAATTGGCCTCAACAACTCAGTGAGTTCCTCAATAGCCAAGTCTTAACAGTCATTAGCTCAGAGCAGCAAATGTGAACCTACCACCTACCTGGAATACAGGAATGCCAGCAGCTTATCCAGCAGATGAAGTTTCCCACTAGCCTCAATCAGGTGGTCTCCAACTTCAAAAGGCTCTGGCTCTACACCTAGAAAAGAAAGAACCCACTTCCAGTCATGTGCCCTCAGTAAGGGCAGAAGCCAACAGTTAGGCTACATGAAGAGAAGCCAAGCTCCTCTTATAAGCAATTGTTTGCATGATGATCTCAGTTCTGCTTAAGACCAATTAGAGTCTGGCACATCCGACAAGCCTAATAAACATCTATCTAAGGAATAAAACCACTCTTCAGGAAACTGAGGCAGAAGAGGATGCTAAAGGTCAAGGAGACCCACAACTGAAATCTTGAGACTCACTCTACAAAATAAATCAAAATGGCAGTCAGAATAACCTGGAGGGCTTCTTTCAAAGCCTATGTGTTCCCAATGCCCCCTCCTCTTAAAAAAGTTCTCATATGTGCCTACTTAAGATTTTGTGCAATCTTTAAAGTTTGTAGCATTGCTTGGCAGAGATCCCCTTAAAGTAACTGCAACGAACCCTCTGTACTGATCATGTGTAGAGTATCCACAGCCACAGGAGTGCTTGCTCCAAGGGCTAACAATTGGGGAATCAAAAAAGCCCCAGTCTGAAGAAAAACAAAAACACTACACATCAAAATTCCTAGGATGCATCTAAAACAGTGCTCAGGGGAAATTTATAGAGGTCTGTATGATGAAGGGGAAGCAACAAAGGAGACTGAGAAGGAGCAGATGGAGAAGAGAAGTATATCCCAGAAGCCAAGGGAGGGAAGTGCTTCAAGAAAGAAGTGATCAACTGTGCTCAAGGCTTCTGAGAGGGTAACTGAAACATGAACTAACAAATAACCACCAGCTGGGCAACAGGGCGATCACTGGTAGAACTGGAATAGTGGTGACGAAAGGCTGACTGAGTGGGTTCAAGACAAAAGGAAATCGAATCACGAAGAAATGATCAAATCCATCCAGATTATCATGCATTCCATACAACTATCATTCTTGAATCTTCATGTCATGAAAGAAAAAAAAGGACCAAAAAAAAAAAAAAAAAAAAAAACACTCTGAAGAACGTTTCTAGGTTATAGGAAAATAAAAAGACATGACAGGTGCAATGCAGGGTCTGCAGGGTCTAGGACTGATCATGGATTTAACAAAAAAAGAAAAGAAAAACTTAGAAGAGATGGATATTAGACGGACAACTGAGGATATTTGAAAATGAACAATATATGAGTTAACACTAATACAGAAAACTGAGAATAAACAAAGTAGACACAGTAAGTAAATGCAATTATTTTGAAGAATTTTGGTATGATTCAGCCACAGAAATGTTAACAAAGAATAATGTGGGGGGAAGGGCACTGCCTCACCATCAAACAAGTATGGGTGATCCACACACTTTCGAAGCTGGGACAAGATGTTCTGAAGTTTAACTTTCTTTGCTGTCTCATTTTCAAATGCATCTGAAATTTAAAAAAAGGAAAAAAGGGAGAGAGAAAGAGAGAAATGGCCTACTGAACAAAACAAAAACCAAAACCCTGAGTTTCTCTAAATAACCTTAATCATTTCAATTATATCCTTCGAACCTATATTAACCTCCCAAATTTCACTGAATTGAATTAAGAATTAACATCCTGTTCATATAAAATTTTCCTAACCATTTTGTTTTAAGAAAGACCCCTCAACTATGAATTGAACTCAGGAGTACTCTGTTACTCTTCTGCAAATTCTAAATTGTCTTTAACTGTTGTTGTGGAGTCAAGGGGCAAATAAATGCAAACTGAGAAATTATTTCACTCCTATCTCCCTTGCCACTCCCAATTCCTCCCAGTGAATTTGATTCGACAAAAAAGTTTTTCATTCTCTTAAACACAGCAGTTCTCCCTTATCCATGGGGAATATGTTCTAAGACCCCCAGTGGATATTGGAAACCACAGATAATACCAAACCCTGTATGTATTCTGTGTTTTCTCCTATACATACACACCTATGATAAAGTTTAATTTGGCACAGTAAGATTAACAATGACTCATAATAAAAATACAACAATTTTAACAATATACTGTTCACAATGTCACAGACAGAAGATTTGTTGTTAGCAATCTCAGCATATAATTTTTTTTCATTTTTTTGAGAACTTAAACGTTTTTGCTTAAAAGAAGCATTTTATGGCTTCTTTGGCATAGCCAAAATGCAGGCATCACAACTCTTGTGCTTTGGGGCCATTTTTAGGTAAAATAAAGGTCACCTGAACAAAAGCCCTGCGATACCATGACTATTGGACTGATGATAGAGCAGCTAATGCTGACGGCGTGGATAGCAAAACAAAAGGAGAATTCATGTCCTGGGTGGAAAAGAGTAAGATTTCATCACGCTACTAACAACAGAGTTTAATTTAAAATTCACGAATTATTTTTGGAATCTTCCATTTAATATTTTCAGACTCTAGTTCAGTGCAGGTGACTGAAATCTTGGAAAGCAAAACTGTGGATGAGGGTGGGCTACCATATCTGACAGGGTGGGAGGATGAAAGGCATGACTAGGACACCTGGAAGTGTTTGCTTAATTACAGGCAGTAAGAAAAACTGAGTGAGGGGAGAAAAGGAAATTTCACAACTGCAACAATCAAGGCTGAGTTACATTTAAGAAGCTCTGCCACAGTTCCGTGGTAGCTGACCGGAATTATTCACAATACAAAATTCCACCGCATATTCTTGGGATCATACAAATAAGTGTGATCATAAAATATGTTACTACATGAAATCACATCCTCATTTAGTTTCTAAATGGACAAGTGCCCTCTGATTACCTAGGTCTTTCATCAAAATGGCCTTGTAGTATTTCTTCTGCAATGCTGACATGCCGTGGTATATCACTACTTCTGTCTTCTTGGGAAGCTCTGTAGCTACCTCACCTTTCACTCGCCTCAGCAGAAATGGCTGCAAGAGTTTGTGCAGTTCACTAGCTATATGACAAAAAAAAAAAAATACAAGAAGCATGGGACAAACGTAGAACCAAGGCAATGAACTACTAGAGAACTTAAAGGAGTTTATTTTTGTTTCTTATTTCACGCTTATTCTGCACTTGGCCAGATGGGCGTTTTTCATAATATTTCTTCCTTCACTAAGATCTTCTTCCCAATTATTTCTGGAATCATTACTGGTTCTTAACCCAAGAACTAGGAACACCCAAAGAACTTGATTGTTAATAATCTCATATGAACAAAGCTCTTATTTCCAGAGTATTTTTGCATTTAATCTTATTGATCAGCATAACAGCTTAGAAATTTCAGGTGAGAGAAATACTGTCTCCATTTTTATAGCTGAGTTAAATGAGGCTCAGAAATGAGGCAACTTATCTGAAGTCACACAGCTGGGATGTGAATGTGGCCAGCATTCAAATTTGGTTTATGACTTTAAATCCCTTATTCTTTCCCCAGATGTCTTGAATTTCAAAAATTATTCTAAATTAGAATTACACCACCCGTAGGATTCCCAGATATGCAAATATAGGTGCCCAGCTCAATGTGAATTTCAAATAAATAATGAACAACTTTTTAACACAAGTGTGTCCTATGTAATACAAGTATGTCATGCATTTGACTAGAAGTCTTGTATTTTATCAGGTAACCCAAAACATGGGAGTAATCAGAGCAAGTTCGCCAGGTAATCTTCAGTCTGCGGTCTGGGGATTTTTGCTGTGAGAAGTCCCTCAAACTCACACTTTCCAAGTACATACAAACTCAGTATTTGGCATACCTCCCATCTGTTTTGAAAAATCATCCCAGGAGAATATCACAAGGATAGACAGATAATCCTACAACACAGAGGGGCAAAGATACAAGAAGAGAAGACTACAACTCTCGGCTATATGAAAGAGGAAGGGTTCCCGTCATACAAGTTGGAAAAAAATAGTCTGCAAATCAGCAGGCACTTCCTATTTCCTCCAAAAATGAACTAGAGAAGCCCTACTATGGAATCACATGGTAAACAAGAGTCATGAATAGCAGACAACTGAGAACAACATGTGTGATCTAATATCTCCCAAATATCTGTGGCTCTCTGTCTCCCTGTAAGGTGTTCTCTGGTCATCAGTTCTCCTTCTTTTCTACCTATAACCATTATGCATGAGGATGGTTTCTGTGCCAAGATTTCTTGGGGATAATTAGTAGGAAAGGAACTTGCCTGACTCAGACTCTTTCTCAATATCCTGGTAGCGCTGAACAAAATCTCCCACCTCTTCCTTGGAAAAAAGATCAGGTTCCACAAAACTGAGGAGGGAGTACAGCTCCTGGAGGCTGTTCTGGATGGGAGTTCCAGTCAACAGGAGACTGAAGACTACTGAGAACTCAAATACAGAAATAAATAAAATAAAATTCCGTAACACTGGAAGGCAAGGCTGAGTTACCCAACACAATCTTTACCCGTACAGAGAAAGGCATGATTTAATGGAATGACCAACGGGACATCAAATCAGATGGCTCAGGTTCAAGCCACATACTAGCTGTTTGATGCAGGAAATAATACCTCTTCAGTTTCAACCATAAGAAGGGGATAATAATCCTGTGAAGAAAATACTGTTATAAGGATATAACAACACGTGTGAACTCTGAAGTACTGCATGAGTATTTAATATGGCTATTATTCAATTTATGTGGGGATTCAAACTATGTGTTACTGCCTGTGTAGGGGAGTCTACTGAGGTATCCGAGACACAATGCACACGCTCATGCAGTTTGAGAACCCAACGCTATAGCATCAGGCCCCACCACTGCAAGCAAGAAGCAAGATTTATCATAGGAGACGGTCCTTTTATAAAACCTAATGGTAGATGAGATGCAAGATGTCAAGATTTCTGGATGTTTCTAGACTAGGAACATAGAGAGTCTCAAATGGAAAAACGTTTCTTTAAATTTTGAACAACAGAGAAGAACACCCAGAGTAAGAGACAGATGAAGTGGAAGGTCAGGAAAAAGAAGAAAAGATACTAGGTCAAGCAAAAGATATCCTCTAAACTGACATCCACAAGAACTTACACTAGGAGAAATAATACAGCAAAATGGGGAAGCCACACCTTGACATCTTGAGCATGTGTATCTTTTTTTTTTTTTTTCTTTTTTTGAGATAAGGTCTTGCTCTATTACCCAGGCTGGAGTACAGTGGCATGATCTTGGCTCACTGTAACCTCCTCCTTCAGCCTCATCGGTAGCTGAAGCTATAGGTACTCACCACACTCAGCTAATTTCTTTATTTTTTTGTAAGACAACGTCTCACTATATCGCCCAGGCTGCTCTTGAACTCATGGGCTCAAGTGATTTTCCTGCCTCGGCCTCCCAAAGTGCTGGGATTACATGTGTAAGCCACCACACCTGGCCTGTTTTAAATGTCAAAATACAGTATGTAAATGCATATATATATGTATGACATGTGTATATATATGCACATATACACATACACATATATATGCACATATATACACAAGTATACTGTATTTTGATATTTTAAATAATATACATTTTGACTTTTTAAATATATATGCATATATATATATACATACACATTACTTTTGGTTGTATACACATAGCAAAGATTACAGCAGCACATACACCATTAAAGCGTTAATGTAGGAGTAGGGTCACTGGTATGTTTTCCTTTTCTTCTTGTCTTTCTATATTTTGATTTGGGAGGGGGTCATAGAAAGATGCTGCTTTTATAAAAAATGATCAATAAATACAATCAATTAAAACAAATGTAAACAGAAATTATTTTTGCCTTCTCCCTTTGTGTTTCTTTTTAAATGTCTAATCAATGTCTACCCATTCATGCCTGTTCTGCTTGTTAGGTGATGTTTTTGTAGTATTTTTTTTTTTTGAGACAGTGTCTTGCTCTGTTGCCAGGCTGGAGTGCAGTGGTGCAATCTCAGCTTACTGCAACCTCCGCCTCCTGGGTTCAAGCAATTCTCCTGCCTCAGTCTCCCGAATAGCTGGTACTACAGGCGTGAACAACCACAACCAGCTAATTTTTGTATTTTTTAGTAGAGACGGCATTTCACCGTGTTGGCCAGGATGGTCTTGATCTCTTGACCTCGTGATCCGCCCACCTTGGCCTCCCGAGGTGGGATTACAGGCGTTAGCCACCACTCCCGGCGTATTTTTCAAGTGTGGGAACTTACCAGAAGAAATGTTTCCAATAATCAATTAACATTTTTACAATATGTGTCCACCAAGTAAAGAGCTGAGGTGAATGAAGGCTGTGAGGCCACATACATAATCAAGGCTGCTAGTCACTACAGGTATTACCGTGACACTAATTAACATTTTGATTCAGTTGGATCCATTCTGGGACCAAAACTTATAACTGAGTAAAGGTTCAGAGACCATCTCTGTTTGTAAATAGTATTTTGTAAGCTACTTTGTGTCTATGAAATACTTTGTAAACATTTTCTATATTCTTCTACATAACTGTTCTTGGTAGCCTTACTTTTTGTAAACGTACTGTGTGAATATGGCATAAATTGCATAACCTATGCATTCCCTATATTCCCTTTATTTCACGTTTAGTTTGCTTCCAACTTTTATAAACTGAAAACATTAGTAAAAAACAAAAGGCAGCATCCCCCTCCCCACCTCTCAGCCCAATAAATAAATGTATTTTCTTTCCGACTAACTAGTTATCCGCCACCCAAGCCTTATCTAAAAAGGAATGCTTAGATGACCCAGGACCGTTTCCTCACTTAACTCTTCCGAGCCTTAGTTTCCTTATGAGCAACAAGAAAAGGCTCTGGGATCAGCAACAGAACTTAGTTTTCCCACTCCAAATCCAGGTTCTTTCACTGTGCCTGCTTCCCTCCTCCCACTGCAAATCAGTAAACTGGCACAGTAGTTTATGAAGCAGTCTTTTATAAGGTTAAATGCCGGGATATGACAGCTGCTATGGATTTAAAAGTGTTGCCTCCAAAATCCAGGGGTTGCAATGTGATAGTGTTAAGAGGTAGAGCCTTTAAGAGGTGGTTAGTTCATGAGAGCTTTTCCCTCATGAATAGGATTGAGGTCTTTATTTTTTTTAAGAAGTGTCATGCAGCATTTGGACAGCTTGCTCTTCTGTTCCCTCTTGCCCGTCCACCTTCTGTCATGTGAGGATGCAGTCAGTAAGAGGGCTCTTGCCAAATGCTGGCACCTTGATCTTGGACTTCCCAGCCTCCAGAACAGTGAGAAATAAATTTCCGCTCATATGAATTAGCCAGTCTGTGAAAAACAGACCAAGACAAACTCTCAGAAGGAGATACTGTTAAAAGTCCCTACAAAGAAGGCAAAGGACACCAGGGATAGAGGGGCCCCACCAGGGGACAGCAACCTTTGAGACTGGGCTAATATAGACAGTGAGCATATCTACATTAAAACTCCAAAAACTGCAACTTTTAGGCCAGTAAATATAGAATTCGTATCTAAGACTTTCCTCCAAATGACCTCTAAATTTATTAATTGATTTATTATAGGACAAGGACCAAACTTAAACTATCATCAGAGAAATTAACATATGTGGTCTCATCAATGCATAAACCTTTACCAAGTCAGTAAGAAGAAGGGTATTTCACATTACACTGGCTCCTCAGAAAAAAGGGCCAATCTAGGCTACAATATTTCTCATCCACTATGCCAGAATGATTCGAGAAATCCAGAGAAAGGAATAAAAGCACGTGTATTAAGCTCAAAAGCAGGACAAAGACAAGACAGACTGGAGGTAATATTCAATAGCATGTAATTGGTCTCCTCATGACCCCATGTGAACTATCAAATTTTTTCAACAGGTAAATTGGGGGAGGGGTACAACATGTCTGATATATCTATTATTGTGCAAAGAATAATCATAATAAGATTATTTTTTAAAAGAAATTGTCCCTTTGAAGATGATCAAAAGAGAGTTGAAACATATTTTCCAAAATAAAATGCATTTTCTTGCGGTAGAGTTCTTATTCACCGGATTTTAGTAAACCTCTCTCCTATACAAAGGACAGAAAGAAGAAGTTAGGCCATATTAAGTACTACTTCTGTCTTCCACAAAATGTTCATTTAATGCTGCAGAAATCAAACTCAAAAAAAGGTTTCAATTTAATTGACTCTGTATAGGCCTAAACTAATATTTTTTTTTTAAAAAGAGTTATGAAGAAAGGATGAATATGTGGAACAGAGAATTTTTAGGGCAGTGAAACTACTCTGTGTGATACTATAACAGTAAATATCATGGTTTTGTACATTTGTCCAAACCTACAGAATGTATACCACCAAGACAGAACCCGAATGTCAACTATGGGCTTTGGTGATAATGATGTATCAGTGTAGGTTCATCAGCTGCGACAACTGTGCCACTCTGGTGGGGTATGCTGATAATGGGGGAAGCTGTGCATGTGTGGGGACACATGTATGGGAAATAGCTGTAGTTTCTGTTCAACTTTGTGGTGAATCTAAAATTACTCTAAAAAATAATGTCTGTTTAAAAAGAAGGGGTTATATAAAAACTAAGGCTACACTGTGAGTTTACCTCTGACAAGGTCTTATGCAGCAGAGAGCTTTGGTTTTTCAACCTGTGAGCTTCGTCCACAACAAGAACACTCCAAGAGTATCTGTGAGAGAAAACCCAAGCTTTCAGTTTTGTGTAATTTAAACACATATTTCACAACCTTACTATAAAACCATGACTGTTGTTAAAAAGACTAACAGTAAGCCCATTCTATTACAAATGCAACCAAATTACCTTCCTATCTGAGAGGCTACCATGTGCTTAACACAGTATCTAAATAAGGTAGTAAAACTAAGATAATCTTTTTTTTTTTTTTTTTTTTTTTTTTTACAAAATGGGAAAAACCTATGCAGAAAGGAAGAAGCCAGAGACGGAAAGGAAAAGGAAGCATTTATGATCTTCTACTTTGCGGTAGACACTGACCTCAGGGCTTTATGCGTATTTAGTCCAAAAGAGCACAGCAAGCAGACAATTGTGCTCGTTTTACTAACAAAGACACTAAAGCTCAGACTTGGTGAAGGTCATAAAGACAGAGGTAACGTTCAAGCACAGAAGAAAAAATCAAGAGACAGTGATGGTGTAGCAACTTAAGAAGTGTGACTTTAAAATGGGGAAGTGGTAAATAGGGTCAAATGTTACAGAGATGTCCAGGAAGACATATCCACCGAATTTGATGACATGGATGTCATTGGTGGCTGTTGCCAGAACACATTCTGTAACATAGTGGGTCACATCAGCAATTTCTCAAGAAGTTTCAGTCAGAAAAGCAAGTACGTTGACAAACACTACTGGAAAGCTACTTAAAAAAACAAAATACAGAAAAATATGTGGAAATGTTTCAAGTTGTATTATTTAAAACAGCAAAAAATGGAAATGAACCTAAATGTCCAATAATAAGTGGTAAAACATCATATGGCATTTTAAATGATAAATATGATTATATTGCAATGTAAAAGGCCTATACAATAATAAAAAAGATATAAATATCATATATCCTCTTTTATAAGTGTGAAAACCATGTAAAAAATAATAAAGTGGAAATCATAAGATGTTTATTTTGATCATAAACATTCTGGAATCCCATTATGTTATTTTCATATTTAAAAAAACTAAATGTATATACAGGTAAAACAGAATATTGGAAAAATAGTAGGTATGGAAATGAAAATTCCCCCCAAATTAGAGAAAGATCAGCAGAGGTTCACCTTACAAGAAGGCCCTCTTCCTGAGGCTACAGATAAACTCCAGAGGACAGGCGGAAAAACAGGTGCCTACTATACTACCATTCACCTACCGACAGGACTGTGTGGAGGGAGGACTGAGGGTTCAAAGAGAGACAAGGAAGCCGAAGGAAAAGGCTGGGTGGCATGAGCAGAGGATGCATTTAAGGATGGTAAGAAACAAGCGTCCAGACAAAGTTGCACAGTGGTCATGAGATAAGGTTTGGAAATTTCTCTAGTATGGTGCCTGGCTCTGTTTGAATTAGCTTTCAAAACGGATTAGGTCCTATTCCCTTGTGAAGAACTAGACACTCAGGTGTCTAATAAATGCTTGTCTAATGAAACAGGCTACGGAGAGGTAGATTTTGGCTCGTGAAAGGAAGTGGGTCAAATCACTCATCAAAAGATGCTCTAAAGGGTGCTCCCTAAAGAGGAAACGATGGAGGAATCCCAACACTGAATGGAAAGTCTGATGAGGTGGCCTCTAATCCTCTTGATCCAAACTGTTTTACAAGTCTATTGCCCAAAACATTTCAAATTTTTCGTATTTGTAACATACACAGCCTTAACTCTCCATAATAAATCTCTTTAGTGCAGAGATGATATTACACTTCCCTGCTATTCTCAGAGTGTACAGTAATAAGCAATATAACCTTCCAAATATATTGAAAGAATATGTCTATGCTGTTGAGATTCATATAAGACAGCATGATAAATGTCCTACTGTTACTTAGGTTCTTAAATCTACCAGAACATGCATTGAAAACAGGTTATCTGAACTAGAAAAATTCTATTTCTGCTGAAAAATGTAAAACTCCAGTATAAGTAGGTATTTTGAGAAGCTCTTTCAAAAAGGGGCTCCACAGCACCAAATGCTGGGTTTAAATGCAAGCTTTGCTATTTATCATCAGCAATATTACCTTGGATGGATTACTGAATCTCTTACTTTCCTCACCCATAAAATGGTTGATAACAGCTGCCTTGTAAGGTTTTCATGATTAAATGGGATAATTTATGTAAAGTACCCAACAACATTTATGTCCTGATTTTATTGTCTTTTGAGACTTCGCATATCTTGCTCTGTATTATGGAGATCTGTACACTTCTTAGCCCTCCAATGGAGTTCCCGTTTTCCTAGGGTAGCTCCAAGATTTACTTTCCTGATATTGCCAGTAACTCTCAAACAGTGTCTTTCCTGTAAGTGACTTTCAACAAATATTAAGGTGAATATTAATAAAAAGGGAGGGAATGTATATCTTAAGAAAGGTAATGATAATATTCTCACTTAAATGAAATACTAAGATAGAAGTCATGAAATCTATGACCTAACCTCTAGTATTCAGAATAACAAGAAAATAGAAATCCAGCTCATGGGAATCTGGATGAGAAATAACATCTAAAATATTAATACTTTGGGAAAACAAGAATTTTTGAATATTAAAGATGCAAGGCTGGGCGCAGTGGCTCATGCCTATAATCCCAGCACCTTGGGAGGCTGAGGCAGGCAGAGAGGTCACGAGTTCAAGACCAGGCTGGCCAGCATAGTAAAACCCTGTCTCTACTAAAAATACAAAAAATTAACGTGGTCATGGTAGCAGGCACCTGTAATCCCAGCTACTTGGGAGGCTAAGGCAGGGAATCACTTGAACCTGGGAGGCAGAGGTTGCAGTGAGCTGAGATCATTCCACTGCACTCCGAGCCTGGGTGACAGAGCGAGACTCCATCTTAGAAAAAAAAAGAAAAGATGCAGAATATCCACCTCACCATGTAGTAACTACAGAGGTTATGGAGAATGAAACCCTGCCAACATATCTGTCTTTCTTACCTAAACTCTAGCCCTTGTTTAATTTGCATTATCACTGTTACTGTGACGTGATCATGTCATTCCCATTGCCAGGTGGTTTTAAGAGTTAAATCTGAGTTTCCGATTCCATGGGCCAATATGAGGTCTAAAAGTTAACTAATTAGAAGTATATTTAAAACACTCTTTCTAAAAAGTTAATTCCATAGCACTTATTACTACTTTAGGTTATTTCCAGCAAACAGCTCAAGTGATTCTCCTCCTATATTACAGTAAAATCTCCAAATGTTAGTACTGAAAGGGGTCTATGCAAGTCGCATGTAAAGAGCCTAATATCCATTAACCACACAAAGTATGTTTAATCTCATTTAATTTTCTAACAGCTATTTGAGGTTAAGAAATAATTATCCCCATTTTACAGATGAAGAAGCTGAAGTTGATGGAGATTAAATAACTAACCCAAGGACACAAATCTAATGAGCAGAGGGCTGTAACACAGGACCCCCACCATGCCGCCTATCCATAAACGGAACTCATGGAAGACATACCAGACATGCCAGGAGAGGCAAAGCACTAAACTGTGCAGGAAAGACATGACATGCACGATACATTCAATGCAAGTTCTCAAACAGTACTCACGATTTTAGAAATGAGGCATCTTTCAAGCAAATCTGAAAAATTAGGAAGACGCAATATAAAACACAAAGGCTGGCATTGATAAACTCTGATATTGATAAACTAGTTTTCTGTGAACTCTCTTAAACTACAGGATTTATCTAAGTGTCATTTGTTCACTAAGGAAAAAAAGTTCTGAGAATAATTTCTAAGTAGTACCGTCTTAAAAACAAAGAGAAGAAAAGCCTGATTAAGTGGAAGGTCAGCAGCACACTGTCTTAAACTAAAGAACAAGCACTTAAAATAAGCCAGAACTGTCTTCCGTTCCTATCCTCCAGTAACAGACATGACTTCTCAGTCCACAAAACCCTTTCCCCTGCCTGCCGGCCTGCCTCCTGTTCATTAACCAAGAGGCAGCTCAAGTGCCTCCTTCTTGAGAAGCCTTCACCCTTAACCCACCAGGAAAGGAAAAGATCCAATTAATTTGAAGCACAATGATACTTCACTTCTTGAAGTCACAGCCCTCTTTTGAGAATCTGATGAAGGTAGACTCCCTGCCCAGAAAAGTGTGTGCATTCTCAACAAAACTTAAATATAATTTCATCAGACTCTACAACTTCTAAGGTCACAGGTTAGAAATTGTTGCTATAGAGAAACGAACGGATACCTCATAGGTAGTCAGTAGCACATGAAAACGTGAGTCCTGTTTCAGGTCTTGCTGAAGGTGGGCTCTTTCCTCCTTGTCACCTGCGTATGTTACACAGGAAAGACCTGGAGCAAATCTGAATCCAAGAAAAGAAGTAGATGAACATAAACAGTAGATTCATGTGACAGGATACACATACCTGGAAAAGTACATTTCATGGGAGGATTACATTCACATGCAGACCTCGTGAGGTCCTACAACCAGAGTCTTAGGGCCCTGAATCTTATCTAAAGTAATGGTTGAACCTCAGAGCAAGTTCCTATGTGAACAGGTAGAAGGATCAGATCTAAAAAGGTCTTGTGCTGACTCTAAAAATAAATTGATCTCTTCCACATTAGTTACTTCCTATGCCACTACAAAAAGCAACGGCTTCTACTATAGTTCATCAATACTATAAATGATTACTGACCTTCAAATTGCCAAACAGTAATAATATTCACTGGGCCCTTCCCATTACATCCTCAGTGTCTACCTACACTGCATCAGTTCACAGTTTTCTTTCCTTTCTTTCTTTCTTTTTTTGAGATGGAGTTTCACTTTTGTTGCCTAGTCTGGAGTGCAATGGTACGATCTTGGCTCACTGCAACCTATGCCTCCTGGGTTCAAGTCATTCTCCTGCCTCAGTTTCCTAAGTAGCTGAGAATACAGGCATGCACCACCACGCCCCAGCTAATTCTGTATTTTTAGTAGAGATGGGGTTTCTACATATTGGTCAGGCTGGTCTTGAACTCCTGACCTCAGGTGATCTACCCGCCTCAGCCTCCCAAAGTGCTGGGATTACAAGTGTGAGCCACTGTGCCCGGCCACAGTTCACAGTTTTCTGGAATAAACTTACTGATTATAACAACAGGTTCTTTTATCACATTTCACACATCATCCAGAAAAAAACCTTAATCAAGATATACAATAAAATTGCAGTTACATCTACTCTGTACCTCTCCATTTCTTCTTTCCAGTTGCTCAAAACAGACAGGGGACAAAGAATCAGAAATGGTCCTTCATCATTTAATCTTCCTGCTAAGTAAATGAAGAGAGCAATCGTCTGGAACACAGAAAAAGAAGGCAGTTTTGATCGCATTTTCCCATGAGAAACAACCACAAAGTTCCCACAACCCTTTAGGGAACACACACTCTTGTATAAAACTTGTTTTACAAAGAAATATCGTACCATCTTCCGCACATTAGGAGAGTAATCCATTCGTGGAGTGAAATCATGTAAGCCTTAATATACTTGCCACAGATATTTATGGAACTCAATTACTTCAGTATTTAACAAGCAATGAGGCTCAATGTTTAGGTAATTGAACCTTTACTGTAAAGAAAAAGTCAGGAAAGACAACAGAAATCAATGAAAATCCAACTGATGGCCAACATCAGCAATACTCTGAAAATATTAAGCAAGAAGTGCCATGATATGACTGCAAAACAGCCAATCACATGGCAGCCCTCTGCTCCCTACCAGGCTTTCCTGAGGGAGGATGCTTTTCTGCCTCCCTCACTTCCTCCCACCTTCCCCTACTGTTTTCCTTTCTTCCATATGTATTTACAGGGTGTCTTCTATTTGCTAGGCACTGTTCTACACTCCAGTTACTCAACAGTGAACAAAACAAACAAAACACCCAGCTCTCCTGGAGGACACAATCTAATGGGGAAAACAGACAATACATGATCCTCCTAAGCTTAGGGAAGGGTAGAAAACGGAACTTTGGTAAAGGCAAATGGACATACTTGAGAAGATTCTAGTACACATTTATGATTTGAACGTCGCTGTAACATACAGAGAAAATAACCTCTTTTAAAACAAGAATGCGTCAAGAGACTCCATCTTCAAATGCTGAGCTATTTCTGAGAAAAATCTGTCCTAAGGATATAATTCAAAATCCTGAGAAAACTATATGCACAAAGATGTTCCTATCAAGATCAAATAGCACAAAAAGGGGAGGAATCACCATTTCTCAACTGTAGAACATTTAATTTTGATAAATTCTCTTGATGTAATAACATACAATATTGAGAATTATGAATATAATAAAGTAAAAAATTACAGTGACACTGTTAGATTAACAAATACAAACTATATACACACTATAATTTCAACCATGGGATGGGTACAGTGGCTCACACCTATAATCCCAGCACTCTGGGAGTCTGAGGTAGGAGGATCACTTGTTCCCGTAAGTTCAAGGCCAGCCTAGACAATATAGGGAGACCTTATCTCTACAAAAAATGTACGAATAAGCTGTGCGTGGTGGCATGCACCTGTAGTACCACCTACTTGGGAGACTAAGGACTGCTTGAGCCTGGGAGGCAGAGGTTGCAGTGTGCTGAGATCATGCCACTGCATTCCAGCGTGGGTGACGGGGCAAGACCTTGTCTCAAAAATAAAAGAAACCAAAAATTCAGTCATGCAAAACATGCATTGCTATTCATGGTTGTGGTTAGAGTGCTTCATTATAGGGTGGCAGTTAATTTTTATAACAGAAATAATTTTCTTTTTAAATTATCTATGGCTTCTCAGTCCAAATGGTGCCCAGAACCATTCTTTAGTAAGCGACTTACTGAATTAAAACCATTCAGTCTAGCTTTCCTGAGGATGCAATCTAGAGAAAATTTATCTTTTATTATTATAAACCAGACTGTCTGCAAAACAAGTGTGAAGTCACTAGCAAATTCTAGCAAGAATTTAAGGAAAAAATTACAGCAATTCTACATAAATTCTTCTAGAAAACTGAAGAGAAGGGCATACTTCTCAACTCACTCTATGAGGGCAGCTTTACTCCAATACTGAAGTCAGATAATGACATTACAAGAAAATTACAGACCAATGTCTTTCATGAACATAGATGCAAAAAGTCTAAACAAAATATTAGGAAAACAAATTTGGAGGTGGTATCTTTTTAGAGAGCTTAAAGCAGAGCTATGTGAACATCTGAGGAAAGGACAAGTAGCATTTGCTGGCCCTCAATAAAGTCAGGAGGGCAACTGCAATGACTGAGGCAGAGAAGACTACAGGGAAGGCCCTTTCCCAGTGCAAGAGCCAGCCAGCCTGGATCCCAGAGACACCTGTGAAACTGAACTTTGTTCTAGCTTCAGAGTGCTCAGCTGCAGAATGAGTTATAAGGAGGGGCTTCAGTGGTGGTGAGCAGTACTCGCTGCACAATAACATACCTGGCAGGTCTTCCCCAGGCCCATCTCGTCTCCCAGGATGCAGCCATTCTGACAATGGAAGCGCTGGGCAAGCCAGTTGACTCCCTCCAGTTGATAAGAGCGTAGGTGAATCCCTAGAAACAAAAAATACAGCAAATCTGAACAGCAGACATTTTAGCACATGCATAGGCAATGTTCTAAGAATCCGAATGAGGAACGCAGCCTAAATTCATGTAACTCCAGACCTCACTGGCCATATCCTTTGCTGAGGAGTATGGATATCTAAACCTCTCCTGACTTCCAAACTACTTTTTGAGCAGATGTGTTCACCATTATATTCAAAGTCCCAAAGGAGCCTGTCAGTTAGCTGATTCACTTGATAGATGTGGAAGTCAACTTGGGATCTGGCCTCTGTACTGCCTGAGACTCACACCAGTGTCCATTCTGGGAAATAAGGCATTACTGATGCAAATTAACAACAAGCAACAACACATAGATTGTACATGTGTCTGCTTGCTTCACTGTATCCATTTAAATCTGCCATCAGTGCTAAAGGGAAAAACTCAGGACTAAGCTAAATAATGCTTCAACACAGAAGGACTGTTTTTAAGAATGGAAAGGTGTTTAACTGTGTACAGGGATGGCAAAAAACATGAAATCCACATGGAGCTTCTACTGATTCTCTCTCCCTTGGTGAAAAAAAATCCAGTTTCAAAGAATAGCCATATCTTAGGAAGGTGAAAGACCATTAGCATACTTTATATAGGAACTATTAGCAAAAACAGAACTTTCTGGTTTAACTTATAGCTTTAAAAATCTTCAAAATATATAATTGTACAACATTTTTTTTTAAATAGGTATTTTTTCATGGGCACTTAAAAATACCAGAGTAGTAGTAAACACTTTACATAAATTACAGTATCTCAGGCTGGGGGCGGTGGCTCACACCTGTAATCTCAGCACTTTCGGAGGTCGAGGTAGGCGATCACCTGAGGTTGGGAGTTCAAGACCAGCCTGGCCAACTTGGTGAAACCCATCTCTACTTAATGATACAAAAATTAGCTGGGCAGGGTGGTGGGTGCCTGTAATCCCAGCTACTTGGGAGGCTGAGGCAGGGAGAATTGCTTGAACCTGGGAGGCGGAGGTTACAGGGAGTTGAGAATGCGCCACTGTGCTCCAGCCTTAGTGGCAGAGCGAGACTCTATCTCAAAAATAAATAAATTACAGTATCTCATTTAATGCTTATAACAATTCTACAGAGTAGATGTTATCCCCATTTTATAAATTAGAAAACTCAGAGATTTCTATTTCTGATGGGAGTATACATACTTTCCTCTATTCCTACTGCTAAGTAGAAATAAAAACCCTAGACATGATAGATAAAGCAAGCATAAGACTCTGAAAGGTGTAGTGAAGAAGCAGATTGGCTAGGGACCTTGGGACCTGAGGAAGGACAGGGTAGTGAGTTCCCCGGAATTTATTTTTGCCTTATATAGCCCAGTCTGAGAGGTCAAGAAATCCGCAAATGGGAAACACCAACAGGTATAGACCAAAACGAAAACAAATCAGAACACCCCCTGTATCAGTCTGTTAATAAAGACATGCCGATAATAAGGACATACCTGAGATTGGGTAATTTATAAAGAAAAGAGGTTTACTTGACTCATTGTTCCACATGGATGGGGAGGCCTGACAATCATGGTGGAAGGCAAATGAGGAGCAAAGTCCCATCTTACATGGCAAGAGAGCTTGTGCAGAGAACTCCCACTTATAAAACCATCAAATCTTGTGAGATTTATTCACTACCATGAGAATAATATGGGAGAACTGCCCCCATAATTCAATTATCTCCACCTGGCCCGTCCTTGACACATGGAAATGATTACAATTCAAGGTGAGATTTGGTTGGGGACATAGCCAAACCATATTAACCACTCTCCCCTCACAAGCCTGCTCCCGCTAGAAAATGGCAGCCTAGCAAGTCAGGAAACTTTTAGATAATAACTGCTATATTCTAGCTAAACACCACAGGAATAAACCTGTGGTCCCACCAGCAAAGGCCAAGTGGGAAGCACTTGGGGAAGCACAAGGGGAAACTGTAGGCTTCCCCCTACAGCTATAACGAGTGCCCCAGCACCCCAACCAATATGGTGTAAGAGAAGGCCAAGTAGGGAGCTGGGATTTGTATCCCTACCAACTACCAACCAGTAATGAGGACCAACCCCTTGGCTTCTCCTGCGGGATCAGTAGAGACTCAGGAGGGAGCCACAACTCCCACCCTCACCCAGCAGGAAGGAGAGGCCCTTTCCCCATCCCCAGATATAGACAGAGGCTGAAAGGGGGGCCTGGACTTCTATCCCCACCTAGCAATATCAAGGCAGCAGACCCTCTTCCCCTGCCAGAGCAGTGACAGACAAAGACAGTCAAACAGGAGGTTTAAACATGACACAAAAATGCCTGGCTCCAATTATTATAAAAAATCATTCATTATATCAAGAACTGGGAAGTTGCAAACTGAACGAAAAAAGATAATCAATAGGTGCCAACACCCAGATGACACAGATTATCTGACAAAGACTTCAAAGCAGTAATGATAAAAATGCTTCAACAAGTAGTTATAAACACACGAACAATTGAAAAACCAAAAACCTAAGATAAGAAACAGAAATCTCAGCAATGACATAAAAGATACAAAGAAAGACCAATTGGAAATTTTAAAACTGAAAAATACGATAACCAAAATAAAAGGCTACTGAGGCTGTTTATGAGATCAACAGCAGAATGGAAGGAGGTGAAGAAAGAATCTATAAGACAGAATAGAAGTTATAGAGAAATTACAATCAGAAAAGAATAGAAATTAGAGAGATTACAGTCAGAAAAGAATAGAAATTATAGAGATTACCATCAGAAGAGAGAGAAAACAGACTGAAAACAAATGAACCTCAGGGAACTCCAGGACTACCACAAAAGATCTAACATTTGTTCAATGGTGTCCAATAAAAAAAAAAAAGAGAGAGACGGAGGAAAGGGCTGAAAAAGTACTTAAAGAAATAACAGCTGAAAATTTCCCAAAATTGGCTAAAGACCTACAGTTCCAAGAAACTGAGTAAACCTCAGACATAAAAAAATCCTGCCAGGCGCAGTGGCTCACACCTGCAATCCTAGCACTTTGGGAGACCGAGATGGGTAGATCACGAGGTTGAGATTGAGATCATTCTGGCCAACATGGAGAAACCGCATCATTACCAAAAATACAAAAATTAGCTGGGTTTGGTGGCATGTGCCTGTAGTCCCAGCTACTCGGGAGGCTGAGGGAGGAGAATCGCTTGAACTTGGAGGTGGAGGTTGCAGTGAGCCGAGATCAAGCCACTGCACTCTAGGCTGGCAACACGGTAGCTCCATCTCAAAAAAAAAAAAAAAAAAACAAAGAAATACATACCAAGATATGTAATTATTTAAATGCTGAAAACAAAAGACAAATAAAATATCTTAAATGCAGCCAGAAAAGAAACAAACACCTTACTTAAAGAGGGAAAAAACTATTCAAATGCAAGCAGATTTCTTGTCAGAAATCTTAAAGGCCAGAAAGAAATGGCACAACGTTTTCTTTTTTTTCAAGTATTGAAAGAAAAGAACTGTCAACCCCAACTCCTGTAATCAAGAAAACTAGTATTCAGGAACCAAGAGGAAATTCTCAGATGAAGGAAAAGAGTATTTATCACCAACAAGCCTACCCTCAAAGAATGGCTAAAGGAATTCCTTGGAAAAAGGGAAATGATAAAAGATGGAATCTTGGAACATCAGGAAGAATGTGAGAATGTAACATTCTTGAGTTTTAAAATTATGTTTGACAGCTGAAGTAAAGATTGTAACAGTGTCTGATGTGGTTCTAAAGGCAAATAAAGGAAATACTTAAGACAATTATAAATAGAAGGTAAAGAGATATAAAGGGAAGTAAGGTTTCCATACTTTACTCAACTAGGTAAAATGACAATATCAGTAGGCTGTGATTTTATACACACACGTACATTAATATACAATACCTGTCACAACCATTAAAAAGCTATACGAAGAGATAAACTAAAAAACACTGTAAATAAACAAAAATAAAATTCTAAAAAATGTTCAAATAATTCACAAGAAGGCAAGAAAAACAGATAAACTAAAATAATAAAAATAAGATGGCAGACTTAAGCTCAAGCATATTACATGAAATATAAACCATATTATCAATTAAAAGACAAAGACTTCGAGTGGATTTTAAAACATAACCTAATTATAAATTGTCTACAAGAAATTCAACCCAAAAATAATTAGTTAAACGATTGAAAAGTAAAAGGATGAAGTGGTAGATAAAACAGTGGCCCTCACAAAGATGTCCACACCCCGCTCCTGGAATCAGTAAGTTACCTTACACGGCAAAAGGCATTCTGAAGATATAAATAAGGTTAAGGATCTAGAAATGGGAAGAGTATTCTGAATTATCCAGGTCGGCCTGGATAATGCAATGGACATGCAATCTAATTACATGCATCATTCGGAGAACCTTTAACAGCTGTGGTTAGACACAAAGCTGACTAGAAAAGGATCAAAGAGATGAAATGTCCTGGCTTTGAAGTTGGAGGAAAGCAGCCAGGAATCAAGGAATGTGGGCAGCCTCTGGATGCTGGGAAATATATTCTCTCCTAGAGTCTCCAGAAAGGAATGCAGCTCTGCTGATACCCAATGATAGAAGAATACACGTTCTTTTCAAGGGCCATGGACCATACAACACAGTCAGGGCCTGTCTTAGTCCATTCAGTGTTGCTTTGGAACACCTGAGGCTGGATAATTTATAAAGAAAAGAGGTTCATTTGGCTCATGGTTCTACAGACTGTATAAGAAGCATGGCACCAACATCTGCTTCAGGTGAGGGCTTCAGACTGCTTCCACTAATGGCAGGAGAAGTGGGGCTGGCTCGTATAGAGATCACGTGGTGAGAGAAGGAGAAAGAGATAGGGGATATCAGGTTCTTTGTAACAATCAGCTCTCTAGAAACTGATACATAAGAAGTGACTCACTCTCTCTGCTCCCTGCTAGGGAGAGTATTAATCTATTCAGGAGGAATGTGCCCCCAAGACCCAAACACCTTTCTTTGGCCCCACCTCCAACACTTGGGATCAAATTTCAACATGAGATTTGGTGAGGACAAATAATCCATATCCAAATTACAGCATGGCCAGAAAACCTCAACACATTTAAAAGAAGTGAAATTGTACAGAGTATGTTCTCTGAACACAATGGAATGAAATTAGAATTCATGGACAGAAACATTAGAGATACTGTAAATCTCTCAACACTTGGAACCTAGACAACACATTTCTAAACAGTCCATCAAAAGAGGAAGTCTCCAGGGAAATAAATACACTGAACTAAATAAAAAAATGAAAATACAACATCAAAATTTGTGGGACAAAAAAAGTAGATCACGGACTTAAATATAAAACTGTAAAACTTAGAAAAAAACTCTTTAGGATCTGGGAGTAGGCAATGAGTTCTTGTATTTGACATCAAACAAAAAAACTATCCACAAGAGAAAAAAATGATAAATTGATAAATTTTAGCCAAAATGTAAAACTTTTGTAAGACACAAATTTGGAGAAATAAGCAAAAATTTTGCATACTTTTTATTCTAGAAAGGCTACCTTTCAGGAATTAAAAGTCCATAGCTATAATAAATATTTGGTTATAAGGATATTGAGAACATGATAACAGTAAAGAGATTATTGAGATTAAAATTTATTTTCTTTATGCATAGGCTATTTCCCTAAATGTTTTACAGAGAATATGTACTATTTCTGTAACCAAAAGAAAAAAAAAGCAGTAAGAATTTTTGTAACCAACTCATGAAGAATAGTTTCTCATAATATTAATTTATTCTGGTAAACAGATATAGGATTTACAAGTTACAATATTCAGTAGCTATTCCTTTGGCTACGCTTTTCTATTTTTCTTTCTCTCCACTACCAATTTATCCCAGTTGCCACATTTGCCTACTTAATTCTGCATTTACCAACTCCGCTCCATCCACTCAAACTTGTAACCTCTTGTCTCATTTTCACTAAAACACCCGCCCATATATGTACCTTTCTCCTGGCTATTACCTACAGCTAAGTATCAAATGGCACACTTTTCTGAGCCTTCTCTCACACAAGTTCTTAAAAAACCATTCCTAGCACTTGCAAAGAAATAGGCAAACACACAAACATAAACTTTAGTCAAGATAAAGTCAAACATAAAAAGACCAGTCTAAAGCTCATACTTAAATTGGATACATACTCCTTACAGCCACGGACACATTCTTAGACTCCGGGAATCAAGGAGAGAGGGCTTTCTCTTTCACGTCTGCATTCTCTCGACTCAACTTCATCCTTCTCTCTTCTAAGTTAAACACAGAACTGCACCTTTTGCTTCATTCCTAGAATGACAAACCTCACTCTTTCGTGGTGTTCAGCACTTAAACAAATTATAATTTATACTTTTAAATGAACTCTCACTCACTAGTCCAAAACTCTAGGTAGGAAGGTTCCATATTTGTTTTACTCATTCTCTGCAGCCAATACCTAAGAATACGCTCCCAGGAGCCTTCAGTAAATCACGAATAAACGACTGTATTATTATTACTGATGCACGATTCTGTTAATACAGTCAAGACCCGCACTACGTTCCCCACTTTGCAAATAAGGAAAACGAGGCTGGGTGGGGGGGGCTGGGGGTTCAGTGGCAAGTCAGCGCAGATCCGGGAGTAGAGCGGGGTCTCGGGGCTGCAGGAAGCACGCGTCAGCCGCGCCTCGGCGGGGCTGGGGGGCGTGCAAGGTTCGCGCTTTGCAGACTCTCCGAAAGGGCCAGTGTCAATAAATCGAGTTACGTGCGGTAGTGAGCGGACAAACTTAGCCAGTCCGCTCACTATCGCACGTAACTCGATTGGGGAAGAATTCATCAGTGGCGAATTTTCCAGTAATTGCGCGCGCACAGTAAACAGAGAAGAAGAGACTGGGAGATGCGTTGAGCGCTTTACAAAAGCAACCAACAAGCCCCACAGGCGAGGACCCAACCTCACGGTAACAGCAACTCTAAACTTACATCCCCGGTGCGCCCGGCCTTCCGACTGTTCCTCGGAGCCTGCAGGGGGCGCTGCCCTTACCACGTTTCCCCTTCCACAGGCCCGGGACCGGACCTCATTCGTCCCGCGTCCGCCGGCCCGCCCACCGCGCCAGCAGGGTCCGCGGCCACCCAGCCGGGGAGCGGTTTCTCCCCGCCCACGGCAGGAACGCAGGAAGGCCCTGCCGCCGGCTGGTAAACAAATCACCGGGCGGCCCCCTGCTGCGCCCCCGGCCCGCGAGAGGCAGACCCAACGGGTTGGCCCGCCTGGGCGAAGCCCGCCCGGAGCCTGCTCACCTGTCAGCCCCCACTGCTGTAAATCCTGCTCCTGCACCCGCGCCCGCGGTGCCTCGGCTCGGCCCTCAGTCTGAAACCGAAGTAAGAAACCGGGTGCTCGACCCCCACTACCAGCAGCGCCCTCCATCAGGCCGGGAGAGGCCCCGCCCTGCGCGGGCCTGCGCGCCTTTGCTTCAGGCTGTCCAAAAGCGCCCTCT